CGATTATATATCGACTTGAAATCCAGAAATATGTGTTAATTAATTTTGGAGTTATTTATTAGAGCAATACGATTATACAAGTATATCGACTTGGTCGATTCTTATTTTAAAGTCTATGTTGCAATAAGTTCTTACGGAAGATAATCAAATAAAATTATTCCCAAAAAACTGAAGCCAAGTTCTTGCCTGCAGATAAAACTAACATCGTCCGCTTTCTTTAAAACTATAGTATGGACTGAGACATTGTTTTCATTGTACCTTCGTCTTAGGTGTAAAGTAATGGAACCAAGTTGCATCCATGGTTATAAATCGATACAAAAACTAGACTTTGTTGTGATTTTTTGTTCCAGTGTGAGCAATCGTGGCACAGATTTTTGTTATCCGAATTATTTGTCAATATGCGAAGTACAGCACTTTTTGAAATGCCTATCAATTCTGCCAACTCGGCGGCCATTGAATGCCATTTCGTGGGTTTTCTGGACCATTGCTTTGTTTGTCAACTCTTTTTGTCGACCCTTAAACTTTACCACCCAATATTTGAGTGTTGTAAGCGAAGGAGCAGATTGCTTCAGAGTATATTATAGCACGTAGAGTCTCCAAACTTTGCATTAAAGTTTTATAGAGTCGAATATTAAATATCATTATTACTGACAACATTTGCTATCTATACCTCAGATCGGATAATTCTGTTGCTATTCTACATTTAAAAATCTCTAAGAAACCAAAGTTGAACGTTTGAAGATTTCTATCTTCTCTGTTGGAAGAGTATTCAAACTATCAGTCTTTCATTGTATGTCTTAATAAGTTGTTTTTTTTTAAAGCTGCTCATTGGCAATGGATATTGTCGCACTAAATCCAACACATCCCCGCCGCCCACTTGGGCTGTCTTCATGGGCGTAGCCAGGATTTAGTCCAGGGGGGCCGATTTTTGGTCGATTTTTTACTATCAAATTATTTCCACTATACAAAAAACACATGAAAAATAGGGAAAAACGATATTCAAAATAATGAAAATTTCAAATTTCAAATGAAATAAAATGTAAAAAAACTTGGTAAAAAATAAGAAGATTTGTGATCGTGGAACTAATATAAATTTGGACCGTGCGACATCGAGAGTGCGACATCGAGAGTGTAAAATTTAAGAATTTGAAATTATGTTTTCTTACATAAATGATAAATTTTTATATACTCGTATATAGAAGTACATACGTGTACATACTTTAAAATGATTGAAATCTAGATTAATAACACCGGCTGCGAAAAAAAAACAGTGGCGTGCAAACGGTTAGAAAAATATGTAATTTTTCTAATGGGTGCTGCTCTCAGTTTGGAAATCAATTTATAGTATCAACTCCAGTTAATTTTCTAAAAAGAAGCTAAAATAGAATAGGAGCCGTATCTGGGGTCGGGGCAGTTATCAAAAGAACGTTATGGCAGATAAAGAAATCTAAAATCATTTTGTTTCGACAGTTCAATCAGTACAATCTAGCTGATAAATTAACCGTAGCCATAAAATGGATGTATTTTTTCGTGATTTTTGTACAATGCGGCACAAATTCAAATTTGTCTGCAAAATTTTTGATCCGTTCAGAATCTAGGTGGGGCAGCTGCCCGCTTTGCACCCCCCTCGCTACGGCCATGGCTGTCTTCACATTTAAGGCATCCATTGAGCAACTCAGAGACAACTGCGTGGGTTGCCATTTTGGGAACACTCGCCACCGTTTTAATATCATTTTTCAAATGTTTCCTTTTTTGTGGGGCGCCAAACAATACACATAAATGCATACAAACAGTATGTATGAATGGCTGTGGTGTATTATTTTCATTTAAGGCATTGAAGTGCATTTCATGCATTGTTAATGTTTTTAAATCTATGTTAAAATTGTCGCCCAGCTACATATTTTCCCACATTGGCTGCGAACTCCTTGTCGCAATTATTTTAGCCATATGGATGTGGAGGCCAACACTTAAACTGCCATTAACCGTACGAAAAGAACAAACACCTCGACTCTCTCAACTCAACTCGACTCAGCTCGACTCAGCTCGACTGCTGCTGTTGCTGCAGCTGCCGGCGTCTTCTAATGCACAAATAATTGCACTCCATGCCGGCAGCAACACCCTGCCTTCTGCCTGGTAAATGGGGTCTGGAGACTGGGGAGGGGCATAGCTGTATAGCTGGATAGCTCTCAGAGACGTCAAGATGCCGCATAGAAATTGCTCAATTTCAGGTGGTTTCAATCACAATGAAATATGATTAAATAAATTAATGTAGCGTTAATTCATTTTGCTTTTCAAAGGAAAATAGCTGTAAGATCCATCCAACTAATGCCACTGGATGAGCCGCACAGTCCCAGCATTAAGTCGCGATGCTCTTCTTCTTGGCTACACTCAGAGAAGTAAACTAAAATATTATAAGCACGAATATACTATAATTTCAATTTAAAGGTATCTTCTATTAATATAGTTTTGTGCGAATGTATGTAGCACACAGAAGGAGGTGACAAGCCGAGTCGATATATCCATGTCCGTCTGTCTGTCTGTATGTCCGTCTACCTGTCTGTATGAACGCAAGGATCTCAGAAAGTATAAGACCTAGAATATTTCCCATGAATCCCGAATATCTTGGAATTTCTCATCGAGCTTCATCATGATAGATCAAATATGAAGAAAGTTATAGCCATAAATATGTATGCATGTGTTGAATATTTTATATTTAGTTTAGTTAATAAATTAAATATTTTTCAATTAATTTCTTTTTAATTTGTTTTTTGCGGGGTGAGTACAAGCTATTTTCTTTTCTTTCGTCTTAAATTAAGCAGAAGCATAGCTTAAGAAACTTAAGCGGAATCTCTTCTAAAATTAAAATTTAAATATGCATGTAATGTAATTAATTAATTATTTTTAAATTAATTTTTTAAAATTTGTTTTCTGCGGGGTGGCCACAGGCTATGTTCTTTTCTTTCTTCTAAAAATTAAGAAGAAGCTTAGACTTAAGCGGGATCTCTTCTTAAATTAAAATTCAATTATGCATGTGTTGAATATTTTAAATTTTAATTTAGTTAATTATTTAAATATTTTTCAATTAATTTTTTTAAATTTGTTTTCTATGGGGTGGGAACAGGCTATTTTCTTTTCTTTCTTCTAAAATTAAGCAGAAGCTTAGCTTAAGAAATTTAAGTGGAATCTCTTCTAAAATTAGTTCAAAATATCGTCAGGCATGAAAAGCGCAAAAGAATTTACAGAATTTAACAAAATAAAGATATTCATGATACACTGAATACAACACATTAACCCATACGCTTTTCGTCTGGGACATAAATATCAAACAAGCCCATAAACATCTTCCTAATTTCACTCTACTAACACATTCGTCAACCTATGTCATATTTGCATTTCTAACACTCCCATATCCCTACATCACGATATTTCATTCAGCCCCATTCTTCCTTAGGAACCCATTTTCAATTGATTTGCAGTTTTTGATATAAAAGATGAATGTTTAATTTATGTAATCCTGCACATCCACATCCAGAGTTAGCTTCAACACAGCCCCTGAATCCCCACTCGCTTTAAGATTTGTGATTAATTCATGTTTGAAAAATATTTTTTTAGATATTAATTGCTCTACATATATATAACGAACAGCTCGTTATATTTTTCTCTCAATGTAGCTCCAGGGTTTTTATGGAACATATGACTTGCCACTTGGCCCCAGCCAGTCGACTTCAGGCTTTAAGCACGTCAGTGGGCTGCCGCGCGGCAGATTCTTTTTCAATTGTCAACAGCGAACAAAGTGCCAGGCTGGCTGTCAGCGTCAGACATCAGACATCGGCGTCAGACATGCGCCATGCACATTAACCCAATTGGCAGCGTGACAATGCCCAGAATGGGCCTACATGCTACATACGAGTACTCAGGTATCAATGGCAACATGTTTGACTCAAGTGGCACGACAGTTGATGGACTTGGATATGGCCTTATAATTTCTACAATCCCACACACACATACACACAAACACATACAATGCAAATGAAAGTGCCTAGCGAAGAGCAGCAATTTGTGCGAAAGGTGTCTCAAACCCAGGCTGTTGAATGCAGAATTCAAGAGCAGATGGCGCATAAATATAATCCAGAAAGATCGCACAATATACTATACTTAGTACAAATAGCTAGTCTTTAAAGAAGAGTCTAATCGTATGCATTTATTTGACAATGAGAGACCCAGCTAAAGAGTATGAACTAATTTGAAAATATCTCAAGAAGTAAGCCCTATATTTCTATATCATGGTTAAGCTGAGCCAGTCTATGTATTTAACACTTTAGATAAGGATCACAATGGCAACGACTTAATGGACTAAAAACTAGACTACACATTCGGTTCGATTGTAAAAACAAGAGATGTGAGCAAGCATCTGCTAGTCTTGTTAAGAGTTATATTATTTATTTAGAAATAGGATTAATCTAGGAAGAGCAAAAAAAACCCTTACATCTCGATTTTTTTTATGCTCTTCGAACTTCGGACAATAAAGGCATGAACAGTATTTAAGCGCAGGACGTACAAGAAAAGGGTACAGAAGTTTTATAAGGATCATATAATGCCTTAGACCGACGATTATTAAATCCACTAATACCCTTATCCTTTTTCAAATTAGTGTACATGTATTATTTAAAACTTTTGGGCAGTACTTGAACATTTTTCCTATATTATTTAAACCACAAAAAATGCAAGTTATGATCAACATTGTACTGCTAGTTTCTTCAAAATTTCGTTATACAAGTATGTATTCCATTTAAAAATGTTTTTGATAGTTGTCTTGAATGGTGGTAAGTCTAGCCTAGAAAAATGAAAACACAGAAAATTTAACATTAGATATACGAGTAAATACTCGTGCTTTATAGAGATGATCAATGAAAACAAAGTTGAACAATTTATAAATATGAATTGAATTGAGTTTTAAAAGATGTTTCCATTCTTTTACTTAAACACAAACACTAGCTGCATTTATTATAAAATCATAAATAATAAAATATATATTTATGAGTCATTCATTAAGTACACTTTAAAATACACATTATGCATTTGAAATAATAAAAAGACGGCAAAGATATGGTAAGGATGAAGTTGTTAGAAAATGGCGGGCATTAATGTCGCGAAACCAATAGCATACGAATCTAAGCTAGGGGACTTGGCACTAAATGGGAGTAGAGATGGTCTCTGTTCAGTCGTCATCGACAATCTCTGTTATTTTGGCGCCTTCGGCGAAGACATCCGGTATTTCAGCCTCGTCTGAACGCTCTATAATGCGATGCCTTTCCGCAGCGGCCAAACATTGAATGGCAACCTCACGGGCTTTTGCGCGCGTCTCATCCGGTAGCTGCGTCATGCCGCTAAGCAGTTCCATAACATCCGTATCGAACAGTTTCTTGGCAATATCCTCGCCGGCATTGATCATATTCAGAATGACGACCATGCCACGATGCTGAACCGCCGGACTTGGATTGGCAATCAATGTGTGCAGGATATTCAGCCAACTGGCAATGTCCAAAATTTTGGAACAACATTTCTTTGAGACTGAAGTCAACATTGCCAAAGCGCCCGCACATGCCATTGCCGTCTCTTCGTCCTCATCCTCGCAGAGCAGGGCCAAGAATTTAACACGATCGTTTTCACCTTCGAACATTTTCACGACATCCTCGGACATAATCAGATTGCACAAACATTGGGCCGCCGCTCGTATCAGATATAAATGATCTTCTGTTAAGTAGTATTCGATTTTGGACACTCCCTGCTCCCTGATTATGCGCTGACGCACACTCTCATTCATGCTGGCAAGATTTGTGAGCGCCATGAGTGACTCAAAGTTCTCGAGCGCCGTACAATCTTGTTGGAGCAGATTTAGGAGCGGCCTGATAACATCCAAACTGCGTTGGCCGCTGAATGCCACCTCCGGATTTATTGTGATGCCAATGCGAGCAAGCGCCTGACTGGCATGTCGTTTACCCTTCTCCGTACCCTCCAAGGCCAGACGTAGCAAAGTCTTTACACCACCATCCTGCACCACCTTGCCACGCAGCTCCTGCAAACTGCAAACTGAATTGAGAACGCGTGCGATAAGTTCCTGCGAATTATGACTCTCGGTCTTGGCCAGGGCGCAAAGCGCCGTCGTAATTCCTTCGTTGCAAAGCACCGTAATCCGCTTGTTGATGAAATCCGTGTCGTCCAACTCATGCTCCTCGGGTATGTGATGCTTGGCGAACTTGGCCAGTTCCACCATTTCGGGCAGCAGCTCCTGCTTCTCATAGGCGTTGCACAAATTCACAAAAGTGGTGACCACACCATACAAACACGACTGATCTCCTGTGCGGGCCAGGTCCATTAAGGCATGTATTGATGCTTTATCCTCAATCAATTTCTCTTTGCACTCGGCATCCAGTGTCAAGTAGGCCAATCCATCGGCTGCCCAGCGCCGTATATCCTTGTCCTTGCCCGGTTTGATCAGAAAACGTCGACACGCCTCGGCCAATTTAAGCGCAGCACCATCCCCAAACGGTCTAATTGCCGCATCCTGGCCACCATAGCTGCCCAGCTTGCAGAGACCCACTAGAGCGCGTACGCGTATTGCATCGTTCTTGGAGTGGTATAAATGTTTAAGAATATCCACGCCCTGCTCGCACAGTGCCTTGGCCTTGTCCTTCTTTGAGGAGGCTGCAATGAGGCACTCGCAGGCCACGCGCTGCTGCAACAAATCATCCGTAGTTGCCATCGCCAAAATCATCTGTAGAATGCCTGTAAAAATTTGAAAATCCGAAAAGCGTTAGTTAAACAAGCCATAAGACTTGAAAGATAAATGAAATACTCACCCTCTCTAGCGACAATCTGATTGCCCACCTCCAAGGGTCCACTTAATAGCGAAGTAATAGCGACGGTTACGCGTACCTTTGACTCCATGTCGGGCGACAAAAGCTTATCCTTGACAAACTCATCAATCTGATCGGTAAAGCGTTGTTTAGCCTCATCATAGTACATATTCTCGTAGATCCTAGCCAGGCAGACGGACGCAATGGTCCGTGACGAGCTTGTTATATCCATAGCGCTCTCATATTTGTAATCTTCCAGCTCGGAGCATACTTCCAGCAGACGGCACAGGCCGCGAACCTCCACCAGACGCTCCGCCCAAGACAAAGTCGTGTAGTGCACATTGCGGGTCAACAACTCAATTACTGCGTCACGTGCCGCTCCCGAAATAGTCCGATCTGTAATGGTGTACACCAGGCAGGTGAGCAGCGTATCAATCTCACGTGTGTGTTTCTCGCAGAGCTCCTTGTTGGGCTTTGAATCGGGCTTGTTTTTCAGACCAGATAGCGAATTAATAATTGTCTGCAGACAGAACTGGGCCGTAGACACACAGTCCTGATGTTTCTGGTCGAGCACACGCATAAACCAAGGGATACCCAACTCCTTTAGGACGCCCTTTGTACGGTCGACGGAGTTTTCGCAGAGACCGGCAACCACACGAATCATATTCACATAAATCTCCGAATCCTTCTCGTATTTGGCCAGCGAAGATATTTTTGCAATGCAGTTCTCTTTATAGAGCAGCTCCGCACCCGCTGTTTCCCTTGCCAATACTACCAGATTATTGGCACCTGATCGTCGCTTCTCCAAAGGCAGAGCCACATCAAAGGTCAACTCCATCATTTGCTTAACCTTATTCGAGGTCTTCGAATTGCGTTCCACACGTTCCTGCACAATCTGATGCAAACGATGAAGCATCGGCTGTACTGTCTTATTTCCCGGATCGGCCTTGAACAACGCTGTGGCATCCTTGTAGGCCTCCTCGTATTTCTCCAACCCCTCGTATGCCTGTGCCCGTCTGAACAAAGCCTTCGGATCGTTCGGCGCCAGGCGCAAAGATTCCGTGCAATCATCAACGGCATTGGCATATTGCTCCAATTTCAGATAGGCCGCTGCACGATTCTTATAAAACACCGGCAGATCCTTATGCTTTTCGCCCAGTTTAATGGCTGTGCTGTAACATTTGGCAGCCTCCGCCCACTGCGAAGCCTTAAATGCTTCATTTCCTTTATCTTTGTGACTGGTGGCTTCATTGTCGCCGCCTCCTCCGCCACCAGCCGTCGTTGCAGTTGTTGTATTGTTGGTCATGGTTATACAATTGCCTTTAATATTAACTTAAAAAACTTTATATTTGCACTTTAGTTTATCAGATCGCTGGGATTTTTAACGCTGGTGACTCACAAAGCGCTGCCTTTTATGCTTATTTTCGTGCCGTTTGGCCTTAATATTTCGACTACAGAAACTTCTCGAATGCACGGTGAGAGAACGGGCGTGAAAAACACAAGCACGCTGTGAAGAAATTTTCACTTTTCACGTTCCTACTCGATTGTTCTATATATAAATAAAAACGAAAAAGCCCAAAATAAATTGCAGCCGCTTCGGCAGCAACAGTTACCTTATTGCCATTCACATAGAAGCGCCGACACATCATAAACAAGTTCAAAAACGATCAGCTGTTCGATGGTTATTGGCATTGTGTTTTGTTTTGGGCAAAATAATGTGATATAACAAGCGTTGATAAAATAATAAAAAAATTTTAGAGTAATTAGATTTTTGGCCATGCTGCTGCACTATGGCCAGCAACTCCTGCGCCATGTCACACGAAATGTGCTAAACACGTATCCACAACGACGCCACTTTAATTATTATGAGGCGCTGGGAATTGGAAAATCCTCTACACAGCACGAAATAAAGGCAGCCTATTATAAATTATGTAAATATCCCTGTAGCTATTTGTGTTTATAAATTTATCCATATTAATTAATAGCCATGCTTTATCATCCGGACCGCAATCAGGGCAGCGAGAGCGCAGCCAAAAAATTCAGGGAAATCAATCAAGCCTATGAAGTCCTGTCGAACTACCGACTGCGACGTCTTTACGATAAAGGAATTGTGCATACGGCAGGATATGCCCAAGATATAAGAGATATGCCCGACGAAGCCGAGGTGGAGGAAGATGATCCCGAAACAAAGTTCTACAAATCTCGTTTCCGTAAATCCAAAGTCGCGGACTCGGAGGGTCGCACACCTATCTATGATTTCGATGAATGGTCGCGTGCCCACTACGGCAAATCCTTTGAGCGTCGCCAGGAAGCCAAGGCTAAATTCGATCGTATACAGAATCAGAAACGCAGTAACACCATTTCCACACAAAATGATATTCTAATGCTGGCCTTCATCTTTGCGGGCGTTGCCATGTACTTGATGTTTATTGCCGAATCATCTTACGACACACCAAAGCAAAGGGCCGAAGCACTGCACGCCGAGCGTCAGAAGCAGGAACTGAACCGAGTTACGACGAACGACAGCAAAAACTAAATTAAGGGTAGAAAAGGCGGTGCAACAAGAGGCTAGTCCTAATTGTACAGTTTGATAGTCCTAAATGTTTAAATAAATAAATACAAATTGTACCTTTTATCGGCTATATTCTCGCTATAAATTATGTTTAGAAACGACCGCTGCGTTTGCGTGCTGTATACTTTGTGTCTGGGCGCGTCTCGAGGCCTTGGCGACGACGTCGCTCTTTCTTAGCTAAAATCCAATCTCGCGATTTCTTTGGCGCCTTCCCGCGTGCCTCTCGGCAAGCGTCCCGTTTCTTGATATAGTTCACACGTCGCTCCTCCTCCGCCGAGCCTAACATTAAGACATTAAATAATTGTTTAACAGGAGAAATGAAAAAGCTTACCCAAGGCTTGAGGCAGAGGCGCTGCGCCGCCAGTCATCAACACCAAATAGTACTTCTTGGCCTTTGTTGAGTTGGGATAATCAACGACTAGACCGCCATAGAAGCCCGCCTTCATGGCCTGAGATGTGACCATTTCAATTTGATCCGAATTCTCGGGATAAAATTGAAAAACTGCACGCGCTGTGCGCGTCAGACACGAGAAAAGTGTAGTGAAGAACTTGAGCAATCGCTTATGTGGATTATGTGACGTTTTATCGGCGTTGCAAAGCCACTGTAATGCCGATATTGAAATAGCACCATCAAAAGTACCCGGCTTGAAGGGCATTCCCTCGCCCATATCACCCAAAATAACATCGCCTGCAACTTCACGCTCAACGGCAATATCCAGCATGGCCTTGGATATGTCGACACCAATCCACATGTGATCTGCATCTTCCAGGACACTGCCTGACAGCCCCGAACCACAGCCAATATCTAAAATCAGCCGCGTCTCATCGTCATCAGGCAACGCAAGCAGCTCCAATGCACGTTCCGCCATTTCAACCTGGATTTCAATAATACGGGAGCTGAAAATGCCATCAATAAAAAAATCTGCTGCTTCTAAAATAAATGGAACCTACTTCTGGGAGTACTTTTTGGCCTCATCCTCGTTATAAAACTGCCGAAAAAGGAAAATTTTGATAGCATTTATTTTGTTTAAAGTTTTAATAAGCTTATACTCACAATTTCGGGCGGTGCCGAATGCTCGGGTCTTCTTGACATATTTATTGAGACTTTCTTAGGCAAAAATAAATGTAAATGAATACCAAATAATGATAACGTGAACGCAAACAAAACAAAAACGCGTGCACAGTTCTTCTTTTTCCTTGCTTTGCAATTCACTTCGCGCGCACTTCCATATGTTGTAAAGCTTCAAATTGAAGAATTTGGGCGCTATTTTGTCTGAATTTGAAATATCCAGCTTTAAATCAGGAAAAAATTCCAGTATATTAGAGTAAACAAAGTTCGTTTTTATTTATGTGGCTGTATAAACATAACTACATTTACAAACGAGATTAGTTACGAAACCAGTGTCTTAGAATGCATCCTGATCCGTTAATTTAATTTTGAAGAATCCAATAACCGATTTAAAAAGCCCAAGTTTTATGCAGCTGGTGAAATTTTTAAAGTGGGTAAAATATATCACATTTTTTTGAATGCGCACATGTACAGAGATTTATCAATTAAGATTTAAAAGGCGTTTTTTTTGCATGGTAATGCTGCACACAGCTGATATCTCATGTTATTCACAATGAGGGGTCTCTACCCGATAACCAGTTATATATTATCGTTATCGCAGTGCAATACACACAAATAACAGCAGAGGATTAACTGTGAAAAATTCGATCCAATTTTCCTAAATTAAGAGCGATAAGCATGTGATAGTGTTATTTAAAGTGCATTAGTGTATGAATATATAATTCAAAGGTGAGTTGTGGTCAAAACCTTCCAGAAAATATGTGTGAGTAAAACGTTTTCGGGGTGCTCCGCTGGACAGCGACACCAAATATGCATACAATGACACAATACGTACGTCCATACGATGGTATATACAAAAAACTATCGTTTGTTTGTTTTTTGTGCATCGTGTTATTTCGACGCGTCAACAAACTGGTGTTAATTAGCATATTGCTATTTGAGGAGTATACATGTGTAGGTGTGGAAACGGCAAAGGGTTATTTTCATTAAACGGTGCTATTAGTTATTTAACAGTTGCTTGTGCCGCTATTCGTGCCGTGTTTCTATGCATAATTTATGTTTCTCTCACTCTTTGCCATTATGCTCTATAAACAGATGTGCACACATATTTGTGACACATTTTGCTCACGGCAGCTCTGACCCGTTTACCTTGTGCCGTTCATTCCTTTTTTTTTTCTAAAAAAGCGAAAACTAGACAAGCCACCACAAAAATACGTGACGTATGTGCGGCCCAACAACAGGTTCTATGTTGTTGCGCCGTCTCTATCAAGTTTATATTTATCATGTATCTCTTTTGCCGGCACACTTAATAGCAATAGCAAGAAGAAAAAGTACAAACAATAACAAAATGACAAGTGAAGCGTGCAATTTTAACAGCTGAGTTTTGTTTTTCGATTTTTTATGTCGATCGATAACCCCTGACACATCAATGACTCTTAAACTGCAGTGCTGTACAACTGTAAATTGCATTTAATTCAAATGTTTTTTTTTGTTTGCCAAAATACTCCCCCCATGATCAATTCTGGTTTTGCTTGCCTTTGCATCTTTTGAATATTGATCAGGGTGCTTTTCGAAACTGGTTTCCGCGACAATATCTTTCACTCTTCCCAAGAAGAACAAGTTACGGTTTGTTACAAAATTGACGCAACGTCCAGCAGTTCGGTCGCTGGCCCCTGCGTATTGTTCTCCATTCGGTTGCTGTTGTTTTAACGAGTTTGCCAAAAGAAAGACAGAAGAACTATCAGCCGCACTCAATTAACTATGTGGATGCTCTATAATCAAATTTTGTATAAAACTCTAAATTGCTACGGGAAATATCTCATTGATATGGCTATTTAAAACGATTTTAAAGCTGAAATGATACATGAATTTGATACTTATATTAAAAGATATTTATTTCCCAAAATGTACACATAAAAAAAGAAATACGCTAAATACATATTTAAAGGTTCTTAATATAGAATTGGTGACACTTTATTTTGAAATTTAAAATAATGCTTGAAAATAGGCTTTTTATAAAATCTGTCTTGTTGATTAAAAGTTTTTTATTTTATTTTTAATTTACCTTACTATTTGTTTATTTCCAATTCAATATTTTAAATGAACTTTCAAAAAATCCCCGACAACATAATATTTTAGTTTGTAACGAACCTTACTGTAAAATCTACACTGACGCCCTCAGTCAATTAACAAGAGCAGGGTATCTCAAGTCAATCGTACGCCTGAGCATCCATTTTGGAAACCAGATTTTGAACACACAAAACTCGCCGATGCCCAGCAGCCAACAACAGCGGCCAACTTTCAGTTGCAAAACTGTCGCTCTAAAGTACGAAACGTTAAAGTTTTAGTGTCTCTTTATGTTAATATAAACGGCAAACAAATTGGAAACTACAAATAGTATATAGTACATAAAATGCGCAGTTCCTATCTGCCATGGCTCCTCGCGATTTTCGCTCTAGTCGCCCAAACGGAGTCGGCCAACTTATTGACCAGTTACCTGCCGGCTGCGATGCAAGCGCTGGCCTACTATATAGATCATTTGCAATACGAGCCACTGGCTAGTACTACTATAGAGCCACCCTTCAGTGCTGATGTAGATTTTGGTGGCGGTGGTGGTAGTAGTTCCAGCACAACCCCATTACCATCCACGTCGCCCAAACCAGACACTAGTTCGACGACCACACGTCGTCGTCCCACTGGCTCCACAAGCGTGGGCTGGTGGCAACCACCCAGCTGGTGGGAGCAACCACAGCGCACAACATCCACCGAACGACCTACAGCTGCGCCCACAGAACCACACAGACCAGCGCTCTTTGCACCGCCTGCTAGTGCTCCCAAATTGGAGGGCTATGACCTCTTCAATGAAATTGGAGACGATGGAGAATTCGATCGTTTGCCACTATCCCTCATCCGTGATATTCAAACAGAAGCAAATCACGATGATTTTACCAATGATGTGGAATCTTTGGACAACTTCCTACGTCTCTATGACGACAATTATGGCAGAGCAGCCTTTGATTTTGAATCGGCCATGGATCGCTGGTCAAGTACATCGACGGCTGGTAAAAAACGCGTGCCGCCCACCAAGCCCTACGTAGACTTTCTACTGTAAGTTGTGCCTGAGTTCCCTAGGATTGTTGATAACGGTATATCGAGTTCAAGTTACAAGTTAGAATCCCTTTAAAATGGCTACCCAAATGCTCGAAAGCGATTCAAAAATTGTATAACTGTATTGTAAGGATTTGTCAAAGATACATACATACAAATACAAAATACGCTCGATAGCGATCTAGGATTCTCTTAAAATGTTTCAGTCAATAATAAAAAATTAATAAAATGGCCATTAAAAGTGATTAATGAATTTCAAAACTATTTTAAATAGATTGAAAAGCCAAACATCGGGCTCCTTTAATAATTTCTAAAATTTTCGTAACTATCGATATATGATCAAAGCTTAAGTTATCAACAATTGTAGTCGGGACTTCACAAAAAAGTTGGGCCCAGCTTCCTTAAATTGTAATTTTTCTGCACTGCAGCGTTTACGATCTGCTGAAGCGTGATGCCAAGGCGGCCAATCTGAACAAATACGAAGGATACTCCGAGGAATTGCTGCAGGCCCTATACGAGCTATCGGATGCATCGGCGGCGCGGCAACTTTATACCCTCTTTCAACGCATGCTCGAGCGTGGGGATGTGCAAAGGAGCGACGTGGTGTCACGAGTTCAAGGCATCATTAAGGATTTGGCCAATCCAAATAGTCCCACATCCAAGGCGCTGGCATTTATACCAACAATGCAGTTTTTGCCATAGGCATTCGCTTTAGTTGCTTTATCTTATGCTTGTGTATGCGTATTTTTTGCTTGTTCCCATGCTGTTAAGCACGTAATAAATTGATGAAAACATATTTACATTGTCCAAGCAAGCCGTTGACACATTGACACAGTTTTGCAGCCACTACGCCCACATAAAAACAACAACCTGACCCAACCGTTAATGTATGTTAATGTGTTATCGATAACAGCAGCAGGCCAGGCTTGCCGGCAATTTGAAGTTGTTGTTAATGTTGTAATGGTGTCAACTAGCCACCCAAGAAATAAACAGCTGAGAGCGGAACATGACGGCGTGGACGCCACCGACAGCACACCAACACACACACTTACAGAGTAAAACATATCTGACGCTCTCTCACTTGCTCTCTCGTTTGCTGTTTTTGCCATACTATTTGCGCTCTCTCAGCTTCTGCGGCTCGCTTTTCCCCCAGTTGCCGTTTGCATGTTGTTCATGTAGCAAGTGCGCGTAGCTTAACCGTTCTGTGTGCTTCCAAAAATTATATTTTTCATGGTTTTAAATTTTTGCAATTTGGTAGTCGTTTTATATAAAACACTCACTTACCTCAAATATTAACGTCCATAAAAATGCGCACTCGCGTGCGTAACAACAGTTTGCAGCGTCCAACCGTGTATCTTTGGCATTAAGAAAAACGCAGTTAAAAAGTTATTGATTTACTTGTGCGCAAAAGTTAAAAGCAAGCGTAGAAAGAAAGAAGGCAATTAAAGAAAGTTTCTTTATTGTTGTTTGTATGTGGCAACTGAAAATGTTTTAAGACACAACTGCTGGAACATGGAAAATTTGAACTTTGCACGCACACCGCAATTTTTGCGCAAAGTTATCTATGAGGCCAGAAGGTAGGCATAAAACGGACAGACGAATTGGAAATGTCAGCCAAAGGGGGCAACCACCACCACCACCGCCATCACCAACAACAACAACAAAATAAACACCCTGCAACAACCTTTTTGTCTAGGTTGCAGTTCTACATGTAGACAGTGGTGGAGGGGAAGGGTGGTGTGTGGCAAGCCAAGCAAGCACCTTACAGGTTTTACTCGTTTCACTCTGTATGCAACACTGACTCCGTGTCCCGTTTCCTTCTTCAACATCGTCATCATGTTTTGCAAACACTTTACAACCCACACATGCCACCATCCCATCAACCGCACCACAAGCTCTTCTTACCGAGGCAGAGGCATGGGCTCGTAAAGAAGGATGGAGCGACGGAGTGTTTGCGTCTTCTTATGTAACTTTAGCCTGCAGACGTCAATTGTTCTGCTGCTTGAAGCGCGTGTCCTCCCCGCCTTTGTATGTGTGAGTGTGTTGGTTCATTGTATATGCAACACGCGCTACTTGAAGCAAGGCAACAAAACAAAAGAGGAAAAGTGGAAAAAAGTACACACACACACAATAGTTCTCCTCGTACTCTTGCCAAGCCTTCGATCCATTGTCTTTAGTCATTGTGTGAGTCTGCAACCCATTACCCATAACCGCCGGCCATAGAAGGATGCTGGCATCCTCTTTTGATGTCTTTGTTTCAACTTTTTGGGCAAGGCACTCATAATTTGGATTCACGCCATGCACTTGACTTTGGACAAAGATTGCACATGAAGAAAGAAAAACATATGCAACCAATTTCGATTTTAAATCATCCTTATACTATATGTAGTATATTTTGAGCATCGAAGTGAAAATATGTTATTATTGTTAATGTTTTAAAAACAAACATTAAATATAAATGCCTTTATCATTGCTTTCATTCAATCAGCCATTTGCCAAAATTGCATTTTTTTCTAAACAATTCTTTGAGATATACAAGAAAGGAACTTAACATTTAATCTATATAGTGGCTTAAAAAATAGTAGCAGCTTATGGAGTAGAAGTAGCTTAATATTCCCTAAAAGCCTATATTCATGCTTTCAAATCAGCCAAAGCTAGCTTTTTCAATCCTTAACAGTTATGTTTAACCTTTCACTGATGAAAACCAAATTAAAGAAGTTGAAACATTGCATCTTAAAATTCAAAATATTGTTTTCATACATTCTCATTAAATCAGTCATCAATAAAACTAACTGGCGGAAATCGAAAACTCAAATAAAATTGTTATTATTTAGAAGAGTTTTTCAAGAACAATAAACACTTTCAACATCAACAAACAATAATTGGTATTAAGAAAGGCACATTTCTCAAAAACAAAACACATTTTTTTAATGTATCTAGATTTACGGTTGATTTTTGGAAACCACCAACCGATCACGAACATCCACCTGTCATTTGTTTCAAAGGCCTTTCAAGAAAAAGAAACGCTAACCAAGAAACCATAACCGGCAATAAACATTATAGTTTTTCAAGGCAATCGGATAAAAAATTCGAATTTTTTATGAAATCGTGGGAGCCGTTTTACACTCCTTTGTAGTTCGAAATTTCCCAAAATCGCTTCACAATGAGAGGAACTTGTGTCCAAATTGCAACCTCGTAGCTCTTACCGTTTAAGCTGTGGTTTGATAAACGATAACCTTTGTTGACACAAAAAAATAAATGAAATGAAAATTGTGAGGTAAATGTTTTTTTGAAATTTCGCTGCGGCTTGTGTTTTTTTTTTACAAGAAAACCTTTATCATGCGTTTCATACATATATAAACATATTAAATATTAATATGCTTTTTCTAATTATAAATTTGAGTTCTGCCATAAGCATTTGTTTAAATGTAACTCTTTGTCAACGGAACTGCCTTTTATCGTCCACAAGAGGGCAATATTGTAAACTCACTTATCACATGTAATGCCGATGGGGGAGGGGGACCGATTACCGTTTATATTATTCTATAACGCTCAGCATACTTGCCTCCGTTTGGTTTCGAGTGCCAACTGATGTGTTCCAATCATAAATGAGCGCACACATCGGTATCAAGTGAATATATATTGTATATGCATATGTGTGTGGGTGCTTCTCTTTTTTTAATGGGTTATGACTAGTCATCACATTGTATTTTTATGCCTGTGATGCATGCCTTTTCAATTGGAACAAGCTGTGAATGCCATTTAAAATACCGAGCCACAGCCGCCACACCAACGCCAGAGTGTGTTTGTTGCGACCTTACGAGATTTCCATTTAAACTTGGCCACGACAAGGTCAGAGTCAGCTTTAAGCTTCATAAGCAGAGCGCTCGACTAAACGCGATCGAGCAGTTGAACAGGCGATCAAAGTCTGCAGCAGTGGAAATTGCTAAGCCTACATCATTTTAATGAAGAATGTAACTTCAAGATTTGCGCAGCAATTCACATGAAGCTAAAGAATAAAGATACTTATTTATGATAATCTCTCATTATACGATTATTTTAAATAAGTTAAAAACAATGCTGAGCCGCACTATAAAGTTTCAAGAAGCAAACATGCGGACTTTTTCAAAATTTAATTGGTTTCTTAATCACTTCCGAATTGATTGAAATTCTATTCTTAATTCTTTCTGAATTGTTTGTTTGAATTTCATGAAAAGAATTAAGAATTTGTTCACTTAAATGTAAAAACCGTTCAAGTTAATATTTGTTTTAAAACAAAATTTTGCACCATTACTTTGAATTTATGATTTTTAAGATAATAATAAAATACAGCCCTCCTCCGCTATTTTCAAAAGATGCACCTAATTGCTTCTCTTTACCCAACAATATCTAATTAAATACAATAATAATTATTAAAAAATGAAAACTATTAAAGAACCCTACTCTTCTCACACGACAAAAAGCTGGGAATTCCCCCTCTCTCCCTCGACGGGTCTGCTTGAAAGCTAATTTCTCAATTCATACTGAGTTGTAACAGTATTGCTATGGAAACTAATTATGTTGCCCTTTCTGCTCAGAATTGAAAAGGCTAATGTGATTTATGCTATAAATACCAACAGGTCCACAATAATAATAATAATGAATCGGATTTTGTTATTCAATTCCCTTAGTGGCTCGTAGATTTTTGCAAAGGATTCCTCCATAAACGCTTACCCCTGTAGTTCTTCATTGGAACATATGTATGTACATACATATGTATGTAAATGTATGTATATACATAAGCATACATTTTTATGACTAATCAGAGAAATTGGAGCTGCCAAACCGCAGAGCAGCCGCATATGTGCTTTGAACTTGACTCTATTGGGGGTATGTGGTTGTTGGTGGGGCTTTGAGGTTGAGGGTGGAGCGATGACAGTGTTCAAGAGAGAGAATGAGAAAACTGACAGTTGCTCATTGCCGTGGCAAGCTAACAGTTTTAATTAAGCCAAACAAAAACATTCCACATTAATTCCAATTATCGTTGCAGATCATTTATTCACAACGACGACAATTCGTCGGCGTCGGGTGGCCAAAAGGGGCACGGGGACGGTGAGACGTCAACGCCACACGACGAAATGGAATTGGCACACACACTGACACTTAACGAGGAGGCACTCAAACAGTTGCCCGAACATAAGAGACCCGTCTTCGAGCTAGAATGGCTGCGTTATCTGGAGAAATCGCTGCCGCATGTGGCCAAGCACGAGGTGAAGGCATGTCAGAAGAAATTGGTCCAACAATTATCGGAACGCATTCAGGGCGCACCGGGACCACCTATGCGAAAATTAATTGCCAGTGCATTGGCCACCCTCTTCTCTGTCGGCGACACCTTTATGCTCTTCGATACTGTGAATGCCTGCAATGACATATTGAAGAATAAGGACGATTCCCCCAGCTATCTTCCAACCAAACTGTAAGCTAAATTCTTTAACTTAACAATTGCCAACCCCTTGAAAACTTGTTTAATACGTTCTCTTTTGCTTGCGTGTAAAAAAACAAAGGCGCTTTTTGGCCCTTAAAAGCAATCTTGGACATCTGTCAGTAATTCACTAAAATTTGGAAATAAATAAATATTTTTCCTGCTTCAAAAAGTCAGCTTTTAAGCCAGAAAATAACGTCATCTGCAAAGTACTTTTCGCTTCTTGTCCAAAGAAATCTTTGACTTAGTCGCAATGAATGATTAATGAAACATATGTTGAAAGAACATTTCGAGAATGGTCTGAAATGCAAAAAAGAAATTTTAAAAACATGTAGCAAAATAATTGCGAGTACTCAACAATCCTTTAATCACCGATTAAAAGGTTTGGAAATAGCCCGAAATCAGAGAATGACGTTTATCTGAATACAGCCGCTTCCAAGATAAACCCAATCATATATTGATGGCTTTAGGCTTTTGCAATGACCATTACAAAAGTTGTTCACCAAAGATAACTAAAGAAGTTCAGGGTTGAAAATAAATATCTAAAAATATTGTAATAGGATGGTCTTTCCTACCCACCTTAGTCTCGAAACATCAATATATTTGAACGATAACGCATAGCCTAGCTAGCCAGCGCTTCCAATCTTACGAAGAAAAATGGGCAAACCCGTGGTTGGCCTCAAAAACCATCAAATGCCATTAAAAAATGATGAACCAACAGTTAGCAAAGATAAATGAATTAAATAAAGGATAAATACGTATTTTTCCATAATAGATTCTAAAACTAATTTAAAGTTTTAACAAAAATCTGATGTTCGGAATCGAATTTATTTCTATAAGATTCAATCATTCTATGAGAGTTGTTTTACTCGAATTTCGAATGCCTTTTCTTTACAGTGCCGCCATCTGCGTATTGGGTTCCATGTACGAGAAACTTGGACGAATGATGGGACGCACCTATGAGGACACTGTACAGATATTGATACGCACATTGCGCAATGCAGAGTCTCAGGCACGCATAGAGATTATGAATACATTGGAGAAGGTGAGCGCAGGCATGGGCACAGCCATTGCCAATGTGCATAAGGACATTTACAAGGCGGCCAAGCATTGCCTGTTGGATCGGGTGATGGCAGTACGAGTCGCAGCTGCTCGCTGTGTCCTAAAAATGATCTACAGTGCTCCCTTTCTGTATCAAACGGAGCTGGAAAGTTTAGGAACTTTGTGTTTTCGTGCCTTCGATGGAAGCAACTACGAAGTGCGTTGTGCTGTGGCTCAATTGCTAGGCACGCTCCTGGCCTACACTCAACAGCAAGCGGAAGCGGCGGGTAAGAAGAAGCCAGGACAAGGCCAGCAGGGGCCGACAATGCATGCAGGGAAAGGTGGCGCCCAAAGACTCGTCTCCTTGGACGAGGCACTCGGCATTTTGATGTCTGGCTTTTTGCGCGGTGGCGTCTCCTTCCTCAAAGGCACCGGAGAGATTATAAAGGGCAGCTCAGGCGTTAATCGTGAGGTGCGTGTGGGCGTGACTCACTCGTATGTGGTGTTTGTGCAATTTATGGGCAGCGTTTGGTTGGAACGAAATTTGGGCATTTTCCTGGCGCATGTACTCGATTTGGTGGCCAATCCAAAGGCGGCCTGTTCGCATGTCGATGCAGTTTATTCGAGGAAGTGCATTAATTTTATATTACGCTCCACCATTGGCAAAATGCTGGGCGAGAAGGCGCAAAGCGCTGCCTGCAAGGAGCTCATACATTTGGTGGCCAAGCAGATGAATTCAATTGACTTCAGTCCGGAAAATGCCAAGGATTCGAATCAGGAGACACTATTCAGTCAACATTTGCTGGTGTGTGCGTTGCACGAACTCAGCTCCCTAGTCATTGGGTTGGGTACGACAGCCCAAAACCTGTTAAGCGATCAGTCCTTGAATGCCATCGATGCGACGTGTGCGGTCCTTGTACATCCCTGTGCGGCAGCACGTCTGGCTGCCGCTTGGTGTCTGCGTTGCTACTGCATTGCTGTCCCCAGCCAGATAACGCCTCTGATCGATCGCTTCATCGAGGCCATCGAGCAGATGCGATCCTCTCCCGAGGCTATTGCCGGTTATAGTGCCGCATTGGCGGCCATTTTGGGCAGCGTGCGTTACTCCCCACTTGGAATACCGCACAATAAGGGCAAAGTGGTCTTCAATTGTGCCGAGGAATTGTTGCGCTCCGCTTCTCAAAATAGCCGCATGTCCTTGAATCGCACACAAGCGGGTTGGCTGTTAATTGGCGCCATCATGACGTTGGGATCGCCAGTGGTAAAGGGTCTGCTGCCACGAATGCTGCTCCTCTGGCGCAACTCTTTCCCACGCTCCAACAAGGAACTGGAATCGGAGAAGGCGCGTGGCGATGCCTTCACCTGGCAGGTGACGCTCGAGGGCCGCGCCGGCGCTTTGTCCGTCATGCACAGTTTTCTGCTGAATTGTCCGGAGCTGGTTAACGAGGATATTACACGTCGTCTGCTTACGCCAATTGAGAGCGCGTTAGCAATGCTGGTGAAGTAAGTAGTGAACCACTCTTTCGTATCACATCTTTGACGCCCCTTTTTGATTTTGCAGCTTAGCCGCCGTATTGAAAAGCTATGGCACACAACTAAAAGCCCCTGCTGCCATGGTTCGTCTGCGTCTTTTTGAGACCCTTACTCTTCTACCGCCCAATGCTTTGGAGGCCTCCTACACACATCTGTTACGAATGCTCGTTTCGGAATTTACGCTGTCGGACAATGCGGCCAATACGACAAACTCTCTACTTCGCACGCTCTGCCACGGCGATGACTCGATCATATTGGGCACTTGGCTGCAGGAAACGAATCATCGCACCATTGAGGATCAGGTAGGTGGCAGGGTGTTCTCATCTGAGTCTATGAGGCTCAAACGTTGGAGGTTATTAAATTTTAATGACTACCCATTTAAGGGTATAGAAATTAGCTATAACTGAAGCTAAAGGATAACAAGTGAGGGTGGTGGCTTTGAAGAATCGAGTAACTAGAACTTCTGAGTAGGGTTAACCCTTTTTCTAGAGCATAGACTAAAACTAGCTGTCTACAGTAACTGTGATAGGGTGGACCTCTTAAATACCCTTTACCATTTATTAAAAAATAATTTCTTTCACCCATATCTATATGTTATCGCTTGATAACAATAATGCCCACACACACAAACAGATGGAGCCGAATCGTAAAGTCGATGGCGAGCATGTAAGTGTATTCTGGATTCCTTTGATTATTAGCTTTTGCGTTAATAACTAATCGGCGCGTCCTTCAGTTTTTATTGTTTTTATAATTGAGTCATCCATAAGTTTGATATTTACATTCATCATCGGCTTGACCATTTGCATGAGTTATTCTAATTTTAATTTACACAGTCGGGTACATCGCAAATCTATCCTTCTTTAATGAATTCTACTTCCATCAACAGTTGCAACCTAATAGCGCCGCTGGCTCGGGAGCGCTGGAACATGATCCTTGCTGTTTGTACCGTCCCACCTGGTCGTCTGCCACGTCTTCCAGTAGTCAAGCGCCATCAAACAACATACAACTCCCAGGACCTTTGCCGCTTGGCGTTGCAGTTATCGACACATCTGTGATGCTTTACGGCACCATTTTCCCAAAAGTAGCAAACAAGCATCGCTTGCAAATGCTCGAACATTTCGGGGAGTGCATCAAGCAAGCGAAGAGCACTCGTCAGGAGGCAATTCAAATGAATATATTCACAGCATTGTTGAGTGCACTCAAGAATCTGACGGACAGCAAAACGAGCTTAGGCCAGGAGGATGTTAAAAAGAGCGCTACAAATTTGATTGTGTCTTCGCTTACAAGTGCGAATTCTACGATACGTTGTGCTGCTGGCGAGGCTTTGGGTCGTCTCGCCCAGGTCGTTGGAGATTCACATTTCACGGCAGAGCTTGCACAGAACTCGTTTGATAAACTGAAGTCTGCACGAGATGTGGTCACACGGACTGGCCACTCCCATGCCTTAGGCTGTCTTCATCGCTATGTCGGCGGTATGGGATCTTCGCAGCACTTGAATACCAGCGTCTCCATATTATTGGCCCTGGCTCAAGATACCTCGTCGCCCGTTGTGCAGGTTTGGTCTCTGTATGCGCTCGCCCAGATTGCCGACTCCGGCGGTCCTATGTTCCGCGGCTATGTGGAGGCCACGTTGACGCTATCGCTGAAACTGTTGCTCACGGTTCCCCATGCGCATGTGGATGTGCATCAGTGTGTGGGCCGTGTAGTCAATGCTCTGATAACCACTGTCGGACCAGAGCTGCAGGGTAATGGAAGCGCTGTCTGCGCCATGCGCTCGTCCTTCCTTTGTGCCGCAGCGTTGCTGCAGGCACACGCGGATCCGCTTGTTCAAGCCGAAGCCATTGGCTGTTTACAACAACTACATTTGTTTGCTTCCAAGTCCGTGAATTTGGACACTCTGGTGCCGACGCTGGTCAAGATGCTGGCCAGCAATTATTTCATTTTAAGGAAGGCTTCTGTTGCTTGTTTGCGGCAATTGGCGCATCGCGAAGCCAAGGAAGTATGCGAACTGGCGTTAACCATAACACCCGAGCAATGTCCCGATTTGCAGATCACAGAATATGGTCTTCCCGGCTTGCTTTTCTCCATGCTGGACACAGAAACTGATGCGGAGATGCTTAAGAACATTCATGACACCCTTACATCTATGTTGCAAATGCTGGCCGCTGACAATTTGAGTTCCTGGTTAAGTCTTTGCAAGAAAGTGCTCACTGTGGCGGTAGAGAGTGTTGGCGGTGCCGAAGATCCCTTAAATAAACATGATGCTGGATCAGGCTCAAAGCCATCGGGTGACAATGCCACCAAAGATGCAGCCGAGGACGATGATGATGATGAAGAGGAGTATGCGGATGATGTGACAGAATATCGTGCGGAGGAGGATACGTCCACGCATCCAGCAGTGCAGCCACGTTGGCCCACCCGTGTCTTTGCCGCGCAATGTGTCCGCAAAATAATCGCCACCTGTGAGGCCGCCAATCCCACACACTTCGATCTGCTGCAGGCGAAGGAACAGCGGTTAATCAAGTCCCGAGGCGATTATCTCATCCTTCATCTGGCCGAGCTTATACGCATGTCCTTCATGGCCGCTACTTCAGATTCGGATCAGTTGCGTCTAGAGGGATTGCGCACACTCCAGGAGATCATTGATCGCTTCGCCAATGTGCCGGAGCCGGAATTTCCAGGACACTTGCTACTCGAGCAGTTTCAAGCACAGGTGAGTGAAGATCATCAACCTATAGTTACATTTCCTTGTCGAATTGTATATTCATTTATGTACATTTATTTCAGGTTGGAGCCGCCCTGCGTCCTGCCTTTACGCCGGATACGCCGTCGCATGTAACAGCCGCTGCTTGTGAGGTCTGTTCGGCCTGGATAGGGTCTGGGGTGGCACGAGACATCAACGATCTGCGGCGTGTGCATCAACTGTTGGTCTCATCTTTGAATAAGCTCTACACCAAGACAAACAGCACCCAGCTGTATAATGAGTCCATGGCTACGCTTGAGAAGCTGAGCATATTGAAGGCCTGGGCTGAAGTCTATATAGTGGCTATGGTGAGCAATGGAAAGGCGCCCGCATCGTTGCTCCAAAAAAAACTGACAGCGACGACCAATAATCTGACACTACTGGTTAGTGGCTTGGATTTGGATGAAGGTTCCTTCCATGGTAGCGGCGGCGCTTGTGGGGACTACGGTGAAGGTCGTGGCGAAAGTTTGTTGGGTCTAGTTCAGCCGGAATTAGAAAATTTGTCCACTCACTGGCTGGCTGCTATGAAGGATCATGCAATGCTGTTGCTGCCCGTCGAATTTCAGTCGCAGTTGCCACATGATGGCGGCGCTTTTTACACTACAGACACCATAAACTCAGCGAAACCGCATTACATGAGCTCCTGGCCACCCATACTCTATGCCGCCTCCTTATGGCTAAGGGATGAGGGATTTGCCTTGCATTTGCAGACATCCTCATTGGCCGCCTCATCAGCCTCATCGTCACCGACCTCAACTGAAGCTATCGAAGAGTCTAACAACAATAACATCACGCATGGTTCCCTCTCTGCGGATCGTTTTCACATGATCTTTGGCATTTGCATGGAAGCACTGTGCAGCATTCGCATCTCGGATAAGCCCAAGAATATAATCAGTTGTCTGCATGCCCTGCACACCATATTCGATTCGGATTGGGCACGACAGCAACTAATAAAAGACAAAACATTGACGATCGAGCTGTGCAATGTGCTGCATCGTCAGATACTAACGAGGGATGAGTTGTTGGTGCAATTACTGTGCGTGGAGATACTTAAACAGACAATACAGGCAGCTCGCGAAGATCTGCAGCGACGTCGTGCCGCACTAGAGAGTGATAATGCCAATGATGCACAGTCGACGGCGCAGTTGGGCGAAGGAGGTGATTCGGGCACCATTACACCAGGATCCTCACATGTGTATGCCGTCCTAGAGGTTTGTCTGTGCGTCTTTGTACGTCAGATTCCCAGCATGAATCCCAGCAAGCAGACCAATGGTGGTGCTGGACAAACGGCGGGCATACAATTCGATTACGCATATGCCAAGCATAATGCAGCCGCCTCGTTCTTCTCGGTTCTAGGCGATGACAACGGCATGCTGGTGGCTAGCGGGCTGCAGTGTGTCGAGGAGCTGGCCGAGCTTTGCTCTCCACGCGGCGCCCTTACCATATTGCCCACCATTCTCTACATGACTACAACGATCATCAAAGAGATTGCCAACAAATCGTCGATTGATACCACCATTCTGGCCAACACGAGTGCCGTAAGGGCAGCTCTCCAATGCCTACGTTCCGTCTGTGTCCACAGATGGGCGCAAGAGCCGGATATAACTGCTGATTGGCAGCAGTTGTTGCAGAGCGCTTTGGCAACTGTTATCGATCTGACCAAAACCGCTGGCGAGGATGATGAACGCAAAGTCGATGAAGTTACCATGTTATTGGCCATCGCTGTCTTTATATTACACACGCCAGCATCTGTAGTCGCGACGCCCTCATTGCAATATCCATGCATCAATCATTTCCGGCAATGCTTGCAATCGGAGCATTTGTCGGTGAAATTGAAATGCATCGAGACGACGCGTTCGATATTCACAAAAGCGGATCTGAAGACGGCCACGCCATATATACATGCACTGGCGCCGAGGATTATTGAATCCCTGTATGCGGAATGCACCAAAACGCCGACCAGCGAGCTGGAACTGCAAGTCACTTTGGAGAGCATTGTAACGGTGGAGCAATTAATTGAGTTGGCAGAGCCACAACATCGTAAGTTAAATAATAGAGGAGGGGTTGGGGGAACTGTCTCAACAAATATAGTAGTTCCTTTCTTCAATTGTGGTTCCTGAAGCCTGTTTAATGAATTAACTTAATTAATTACTTAACGCGAAATCGTTAGTTTTCCCGCCACTATATAACCATACATTTACACGCCCCCCAAATCCAGCAGTTCCGTCGCATTAGCGAACATTTGTTTGTCCCATTTTCAAATCTCAGCATAAGCAGCAACAACAAAAAAGTGCGTTCTACAAAGTACCGTTCTTATTCTATTTCTCTCTATCTCTCTCTCTTCTCTTTTAACTGCTTAACATCGCTCACCCACCGCACATGCATACACACTGTCACACACATACATATATGATTTGTCACTAAAAATATTATTTAGGAACTTTGCTACAAGGTAAATAGTCCATAATAATAGTCTTGTCAAAATTTACATAATTCACATCTGTCATATGTGTTGTCCAATGCACAGTTTCTCTGTTAGCCTAAGCGCACTAACCATAAATAACACGAATAGATTTAGTTGCTGTATTTACACGCTTTAAATGTCGTCGTACAAGTTAATTGCATGCCACAAAAGTAACGGTATGTCTTGAAATTGGCCGTTGTTTATTGATAAGCAGCCTCAGCACACAGCATTGCCAACCCCAACACACAATCTGACCACACAAACGCACACAACTGCTCAACACAATGTTTGTTCAAATGAAAGGTGTTCCCAGCATTGATTATTCTGGTTTTTATTTGAAAGCTAGAACGAATTTATACTTTACCTTTTCGTTGATTATTGAAAATGAAATCGCCAAATATAAACGAAATAATCAATGTCGGTGACACCCATATTGTTTCGTAGTCAGTCGTTGCACTTGCCGTTTGTCATAACTCTAATTGTCCTTCACTAATATTATTATTTTTTGCACGCAGACATACAAATGCTCACATTGCTGGTGCCGGTCCTCATCAGCTATCTGGCTGAACCGAATAAATTGCGCACTCTGCCGAAATATCAGAGACAATTGCACGAGCAGGCCCTGCAATGGCTGCTGAAAATCGGACCCAAATATCCGCAGGAATTCAAGAGCCTCATGGGGCAAACACCAGAGCTTCGCCAGAAACTGGAGGCAGCGATACGAAATCAACAGCAGTCAATTAGTATTGCCCAAAAGGCGAATGAGGCGCAGCGAAGCGGCTTACTGGCCAAGCCACAGAAGCCGACGATCAAGCTGAAAACGGACTTTAGCAATTTCCATTGAATGCCAGACACAATTTCAACATATATCCAATTTGTGTGTCCATATACAACTTATATACATACATATATATAAATATTAGCGTGATTTTTGCCTGCTTAAATGCTTCGCAATGTGGAAGGCAAATGAAACTTCACTTGAATCGCGGCTACTCGAAAATGTTTATACGCAATGATTTGTGTTTTGCCGTAAAAGTAAATAACAAATAATGATGTACCTATAAAAAAACTTTATAAATTATTGTTAGCTATTATTATGACCACTTATGTATGAATAAACTTATAAAGGCGAAACATCATATTCTTTCAATTTGTGCTACAAAAAATGTTGCATTTTATGTAAATTTCCTTATTATTCAGAGCTTAAGTTACTTGACAGCTCTAATCGTACGAATTTTTCGGTTGACCCGAGTCCATAAGAAAAATAGAATGACCAATTATTTAGAATATTACAAAGAGCTGATATAAAATGTTTTATTTCCGTGGTTTTATTTTGTGCTTTGTAACAGTGTTGGTTGTTTTATAGAGTCAAAATTATTTGTTGGAATCGAAAGACAATGTCGTCTACCTTGTAGTCTTACAAATTACACATTTAAAATAAGGAATGTTAACATTCTACTCAATAGCCCAAATTTAAAATAAATGTTATTTTACTTCGATCAATATCCCAATATCTGACTTGATTCATCAGACTCGTTACCATTAACGATCTCGAATGTGACAGTATGACTTTCATTCTCCTCATCGCTCTGTACTTCCGCTTTTACTTCGGTAACTCTTCGCCTTTTGGAAATCTCCCTGTTATTATTTCGTTCTTCTATTGTGGTTCTCACATTTTTCAGCTCATTTACAGGTTTTGGTAGGGCCTCGAGATATGTCGACATTCCCTCAATATGATTCGGACTCAATCGAGTCAAGAGGGCGACGCGAAAGAAGAGGGCACGCAGGCGTTGTCGGAAGAGTTGCACTGCCGGAGTGCATTCATCATACACCAGATCTACCTGTGGCTCTTCCTCTAGCCCAAAAAAGCTAGACACTATGCAAAGGGTACGAAATCCCATTAGTGTGGACCAATTAGGTGGTAGGACTTGAGTTTTTGGTTCTAGAAGGGGCAGCTGTAGTTCTCGAACCATTTGAGTATAGCAGCGACACAAAGGCGCCGGCACGCCCGTGCTTCTTATTTTCTTGAAGGCTCCAGGATCAGGTGGATTGAAGAATAATGTGCTTATGACCTGACAAAGATTGACATTATCTTTCGGCAGTGTAACTTTGGGGTGGTAATCCAATTGCAGATTGTACCCATATTTAAAGTAATCATAGACTTGAAGATCGATGCCTTTCGGCATTTGTTTCTCCCATATGTTTTCCACTTTCATGCGTTTCTTCTGTGGCTCCAGGGATTTTGGATCCTGTCTCCATTCCTCAAGGCGCTGCGCCCAATTCTCTTGGGTAACAATAGTATTTTTATGTGGACGACGTCGCGGAATGTCCTCCACCTTTGCATTAGGGCAACGTTCCAGATATCGCTTGATGACCAAAAAGCGTGTACGGCAGCTGGTCCGCGTGTGATTTCCCAAATGTTCGGCACAATCGAGCCACGCAGATTGGCCATTTTTGGCTACAAAATCAATAAGTTTCTTATCGTCTTCTATCGACCAGGAATCGGTTTTATGACGCTGCGCCAAAACATTAAAATAACGGGTACGTAGTTGGGTCAAAGATCGCTTTGGAAACATCGAGCGCGGGATCGAATAAAATCTGCCATTGTATTCTTCCACAGCCGCATAAAGCATAATATCCTCATCCACCGTAAAGGGTTCTGCAAGATCGAACAATGAAATTATTATTGTTTAGTTTAAGTTTTAATTCGTACTCGATCTTAGATATTTTTGTAATATTAAGGTCCATTTTATAGCATTTCTACATACTTACCATGAGAAATGTTTGGATGCAGAACATAGGTATAGCGTCCAATCAGCGTGGACTTAGCCTTTCCCGGAAAGTGGGCCAAAACACTGGCCCATTCGGTAAAACCGTTTGTTGTATATTTTGCTACAATTGCTCTGAGGCGTTCGTCATCCTTGTGGTTCCATTTGTGCGCTCTATTCGCGTCGTCATAGAAACGCAGTTTCTCCTGATAACGCAAATAGCACAGATAGTCCGAACGATTGTTCATTTTTTCGGCAATTGCCGGCCAGTTAGAGCCATTATGCTCCTTAACCAGCTTCAATAGGCACTCATCCTCCTCCTGCGACCATTTGGTACGCCTAATCTCAGGACTTAGGTATACATTCCACATGGCCTCACAGCTGTAAGCCGAGTGGCGATAGTCTACGTTCAAGGAACTAATCTCTAACCAATCGATTTTAAAGCTGTTGTCGTATTTAACTTCAGAGAGCATAGTTAACAATGTTTTTGAATGCAAATTAATGTTTTTTTTTACTTTGTTGTCCTTTAGGCCATTTGCGTTGAAACGCTTATGTTCCATCAACTGAAGGTGTTGAGAAATAGAAATGTATGATTGTTTTCCATTTGTGAATCCCAGTCAGCTTACCTGCGACTTAATGCCCATCACAATGTTCTTCTTGTCCAATACGGTCCAGACGTGCTTTGAGCGCATGTCGAAATCTGTTGGAAACATTTCGCTACAACAGCGCTTCTCGTAGTCCGAATTGTTGGGACAACTGCGTCCGTCCATATCTCGAAAATATAGGTTTCCCTTAAAACGGAAACTCCCGCCTCTCAGCACAGCTCCACTTATGCCAATATTTTGGTTGTCATTGCAGGCCCTCCGCTTTCGTGGCTGCAGTCGGCGCATCAGTATTTGCTCGTTGCGCTCATATCGGGCTCGCACCGTACTCAGCGTATTCATTATTTGCATTTGTATTTGTTCCAACATCCTTTGCATTTCCTGATTGAGAAGCAAAGCGTTGCCATCGCTCACTTCTGATCCCACGGACAACAGCAACTCGATGATCTCCTGCTGGATCTTGTCGGGATCCAGCTCAAGATCACACATTTTGCAATGGGCATGGACAAATGGATTTTGTATTTAAACAATTACATGCCCAAGAATTTGCCGCACAAAACAGCTAAATATAGTGATGGCACTATGCAGACCATCGAAAATGTTGTCTTTTTCAGCTGCAGTCGATAGTTAATGGAGCAATGATATGGCCGTCGCTAGAAGAGATTTTAATAGTTTTATGATTATGCAGATTACAAATTATTTTTATTAATAATTATTCGTAATTCAAATATTCAAACATATTGAATATATTTGAGGAGGCATCACTATAAAGATAATATAATAATATTTGGAATCAAACTGGAAACTGAGGATGTTGAGTGTTCACATTGCTTAATTTTTATGAACAGCTGTTCAACAAAAGGAGTTACAAATGTTAATCAAATTCAAGAATCCCACTAATATACTAAGTAATTTACAATTTCCTATAGGTCTTCTTTAAAATGATCAAGATTAAGTCATCTCGGTCTAACATTTAAATAAATATTCTCCGTCTCATACGGCGCCATAGCCATATGATGTATCGATAAGCGGTTCGCAGTTTAGTTCGCGAAACCGGTTCATTTATGCAAAAACAAAAGAGGGGTCGAAGGAAAAAGCGTAGTAACAAAGTGCGTTGCTAAATTAATTAATAAAATTCGCCGTGTGTGCGCATTTTGGTGGCGAAAAATAACATGGAAAATGTGCCCGTAAAAATAGTTGAACGTTACAAACCACCGCCGCCCGTCTACCAATTGCCACAGACCGTTGTCAACCGATTGCAACAATACAGTGAGAACTATTATGACGAACATCCAGACTACCAATATGACTTCCAGCTGGAGCGCGATGTGCTTAGCAAAGCGCAACGTTGGCGTCAGTTGCGGCACCAGCAGCAGGAGGAACGTCACCAGCGTCAGGAGCGACGCAACCTTGCGTTCCAGCGGGCTATCGAGGCACAGCAAAAGGAAATGTTGGGCGCCGTCGAGTATCCGAGTGCAGCAGATCTGTCATCCGATAGCGAAGATGAAGAAACGTGTGGCGGTAAGGAAACCCAACTCAAAGAGGTGGCAGCAGCTACAGCAACAGCAACAACAACAGAAACGTCAATTAGTGGCAGTGAGTCACATGACGACAACAACAAACAAACGGCCGTGACCGTGGAACCAAAGTCAATAAACCCATATAGTTTCCATACAATTCTGCAGCCCACTGTGCTAAGCGGCGCGACAACGCAAGCGACAACCACAACGCTGCATAAACGCAACAGCTCGCTGAACTATGCAGATTTCGAATACAACATGAACTCCACGCCATTCGATATAATCGAGCTAAAAACCATCAACGACTTGGATGTGCTCGCCCAAGTGCTGCACAATACGCAGCTGAAGGCGCAGACTGTGGAGGGGGAAACGGAGGAGGCGGTGCCAGCAACCATAATAACGCAGTCAGATACCAAAGCCACTGACAATTACTCAGCAGACATTCCAGCCACCCAACCAGTGGAGACGCAACCTCAGGCTACGCCGAACTGTAACAATTATGCGCCACTCTATTCCCATGCAGCCACGCCCACATCGATGTCGTCGCCTTACACGCTGCCGCCTCTCCAGCAGCATCTCCAAGCTTATCAGATGGGCTACAACCAGCATTATTATTATCAGCCCCAGCTTTATAGCAATCAAAATTATCTAATGACTCAGCAACAGCCACAGCCACAGCCTTATGTCAATGGTTATGGCACGCCCACGCATCAGCCTCAGCCGCTTGCCTCCACACTCGTGTCGACCACATTGGCCGCTTCCGATGTGGATGCTGCACTCAAGTCCAAAAGCGTCCCAGATATTTTACGTGAGCTGAAGACGGAACTGCAGCCGGAGAAGCGACGTGCGCGCAACAACAGCCACAATTCGGAGCAGATGCACAATCCGGACAGTCTTCAGTCCCTGCCCCGCCTCAACGTCTTCAGTGAGCTGGCTGTGCCGGCCCAGAAACTCGCCCAAAGCATCAGTGGTATGGGATTCCCGCTGGAGCGTGTGGCCAAGGTTGTGAGCATTTGCGGAATTGACGATAAGAAGGTGAGACTGTGAAGAAATTTCAATCATTTTTATTATTCTTCCGCGCTCATCTACCCGTAGATTTTATTTCAAAGTGAACGTGATTTGTGAGCTTATATATAGTAGTTACATAGTTTCTGCATTGTTGGGAACGATCCTCCTCTATTCGATTCAGTTTTATGCTAAAGAATTGCCCAAACAAGGTATTATTGTCCTTTACTCCTCGATTAATCTTCATAGTAAACAAAAACGTATAGTTCCCAAGTTTTTCTTAGATATTTATATTTCAATTTTTCAAAATCTTCCCTTTAAAACCCTTTCCAAAACTAAACTAAAACCGAAGGGTTCCAGACTTTCTTAGATGCTGTTTTTTAGATAGACTTTCAAAATTGTTATATAACTAATGATTGGGGAAATCGTTAAGTTCCCAAGACTTTTCTATTAAAATGTTCTTTTAATTTGGAGCCCTCTTAATTATTTGTTTAATTTTCATTTCAGATAATCGAACATTTGATACCCTTAAGCGAGCTGGTGGATCTCGGTTTTGATGAAACAAAAATCTCGGCTGCGCTTTTGAAATTCAACAATAATAAGGATAAGGCGCTAGACTATTTAATTAACTAGTTCAATTTTTTGATATGGCATGAAACAATACACGCTCGTCATTATACACATAGCTATAAAGTTATCGTATTTTTATTATTTTTATTACCCCCTTCTGCAGGCTTCAGTGAAATGAAAGAGATAATACAGTACTAGCGTATATATGGGATATATATGTATATGTAGTTCGAAATCGGCTTTGTACAGTAGCTACCAAACGATAAATAATTTATGCACATTCATATATATTTATAAGTATAACTAGAAAGTAACTATGATTATACGAAGTTCAAGAACGGCGGGTTGCCAGCATTTATACATTTTTGGGGATCAAATTATAGAAGACATATGTGACTAAATTAAATTAGATGATATTCAAAAAAATGTATATTGCCATGTCCGTCCATCTGATTTGTTTTAATTGGTACTGTTTAAAAGCTATGGAGCTGAAAACCGGTACCGTTGCATTGGATTTCCTGTAATTGAAATCGATCAAGCTATTTGGATTTGAAATATTTCCCTCATATCTAAGAGTCTAAAAATGTTCTTTTAACACTTTTAAAAGTTAACAGCTCTATCTTTTTTTTTTATATTATTATTTTCTGATGCAGAACATTTCCTAATCAGAATTCACTTTTAAGACGAATTATATAGATCTCAATTAGCAGGCAGATAAAGCGATATCTGAGTTTTGAACCTAACGTGTCGAGCACTTCGCATAAACATAGCAGCTACAAAGAATAATAGGAGAGTATAAGAATCTAGGCAATCAGTTCATGCCGAGCATTAAAAGATTAATGGCATGCTCGACATTTCCGTCTGTCAGATTCAAATAATTGGCATTCTGACTGTGATTGATGAAACCCATGGCGGCCATTGTGCGCAGTTGTTCGGTGAATCTGTGGCGACGATAGATTCGTGGAAGAACATCGCTATCATCTCCAGCGGCGGCATCATCATCATCCAAGTCTTGCAAAGCTTCTGCCGCCGGCTGCTCCACAATGCCCTCCATATCCATGCGTTCGGCTCCTGCCGCTGTCGTTTGTGTGGGCTGGTGCTGCAAGGATTGAAAAGCACGTGCGAGCTCATTACGAAACAGTTCCGATGAAATGCCACTGCGATCTGTGCCTGCGCCTGCGGCAGCCGCACTGGAGGAAGCTGTGCTAGGAGCCGAAGTAGTCCGTGGGCGATCGCCAGTATGCAAGGCTTCATCCACATTCCGTTGCGCTATGTTCGAGAGAGAGTTGAAGGAGCCCATGGCTCCAGCCAATGCGTTTGCCAACTGTAGCCGACTAATCTGACGTATGTTGGCCAACTCATCCCGACGTGTAGCGGCTGTGGTGCTGCTGCCGCCACTGCTGCTGCTACCAGCCCCCAAGGAGTTCTCCTCCTCCGACGATGTGGTAGACTCCGACGCGGCTTGCTCTTGAACTGCAACGGCGAATAGAAGTGTTTAAGTAATGTGACTGTCTCGACGAACATCCTAACTTACAGTGTGTGGCCGAGCTGTTGCGGGCTAGCTCCTTGCGTATGGTCTCCACAATAAAGGGTGTTGCCTCACATATCAGGGGGTAATCCCGCACCAAACGCTGCACCACCTCGGGCTCATGGAGGGTATTAAACAACACCGAGTCGCGTATCAGGGCCTGAGCACCCAAATTGCGTCGGAATTCCGGATACTCAGCCAGTATCTTCTGAAGTATATTCACGCGGGATTGCACACTTATTTGCAAATGCGATGTCAACGAAAATAGCTCCTGTATGTGCTTTGTGTTTATTTCGGATGCGGGTGGCGGCACATAGGGCTCATAATTCTTCATTTTACGGAAACAATGGATCACTGCATTCGGTTTCATTGTGTCTCTCAGGACTTGAGAGTCATTGAGCAGCAGACCATTGTACAATATTTCTACAAAGGAATATATAAATACAAACATTTCAGCATAATTAAGTATGTATATACAATGAGTTTGCGGTTTTGTACTTACCTACGTCATTGGCGTATAGCTGCAATTTTAATTCCTTAATTATATATTCCTTCAAATACATCACATTCTTCTCTAAATCGATGTTGTGCAGAGGATAAACTCCATTCGTTTTACTTTTTATATGCACGCCCGCGAATAGAGTAGTCATTTTTAGAATTCTACCTCCGATTCGTAATAATTATTAATATAACAATTGAATGCGTCTCACTTTTAGTTGGCAAAAACAATAAGCACTTTTGAAATGAGCCAGTTCACAATTGCATTTGGTTATCGATTCAATGCTCGCTGGTGTAACGTAGAACCCAGCTTTTGTTTGGCATAAGCACTTCCTGCTATTGCATTTTCAAAGAAAACAAAAAGCCGTTAACTACGAAGCCGTTACTACGAATAGAAAATTCAGTATAAACATGATCAGTTTTTAAGTTTCGAGAATACATCAAAAGATTATTATAATTATTTTAAAAGCCAAGCAGATGTTTACGATCTGGCAACGATGGTCGGCACAACAGGTGAGCAGCTGATCCTCAACTCTACCTTACATAACATTGATAAGGGGAGGAATTGGTGTTTAATTCATGTTCGCGTGGGGTGTAAACTGCAGAAATATTCGCCAACACAACATGAAAGTGTCTGTCAATCTGGCCAGGGGCCTCTTCAATGCCCTAAAGACGGCACCCCCCGCACTGGCAAGATCGCATTTTACTTACTACCCCACAACGGCGACTTCGGATAAGGGGGATCTGCAGAAAATGAACATGTTTCAGGCCATAAACCAGGCCATGGATATAGCACTGGACGAGGATCCGTCTGCACTGCTGTTTGGCGAAGATGTTGGCTTTGGCGGCGTCTTCCGCTGCTCTATGAATCTCCGTGATAAATATGGAAAGCAGCGTGTGTTTAACACTCCGCTTTGCGAGCAGGGAATTGCCGGATTTGCGATTGGTGTAGCAAATGCGGGCGCCACGGCGATAGCGGAAATCCAGTTTGCCGACTATATATTTCCAGCTTTCGATCAGATCGTAAACGAGGCGGCCAAATATCGTTATAGAAGCGGTGGCATGTACGATTGCGGCTCGCTCACTATTCGCGCTCCATGCGGAGCAGTCGGACATGGTGCCCTCTATCACTCCCAAAGTCCGGAGGCGTATTTTGCCCACACACCTGGCCTCAAAGTCGTCATACCTCGTGGGCCAATCAAGGCTAAGGGCTTGCTGCTCGCCTGCATCAAAGATCCCAATCCCTGTATTGTTTTTGAACCCAAAACCCTATACCGGGCGGCTGTGGAGCAGGTCCCTACGGGCGTCTACACGTCAGAGCTGGGCAAAGCCGATATTTTACGTGAAGGCAATGACGTAACTCTAATCGGTTGGGGCACACAAGTCCATGTGCTGCTCGAGGTGATTACAATTGCAATTTCCTTTGACATGAGAATATATATATATAGCTAATCCACAACTCTTTTAGGTGGCTGATCTGGCGAAGAAGGAGCTAAATGTTGATTGTGAGGTCATCGACTTGGTATCCATTCTACCTTGGGATCGTGACACTGTTTGCAATGTAAGCGAATTCCTAACTCCATGAATTGTGTGGAATCTACAAGTATATTGTTAGATATTGGACTTTAGAAGTGGAACATTAGTGAAGCTCTAGATTCAAAAATTCAAATTTATTTTGAAAGGACTGATTAATTTATTTACATATTTATCATTCATTTTCAGAGTGCCAGCAAAACTGGACGCGTTGTTGTGGCCCATGAAGCGCCCTACACTCAAGGCTTTGGCTCCGAACTGGCAGCTTATATACAAGAGAAGTGCTTTCTGCGCCTGGAGGCACCAGTTAAGAGAGTCACTGGCTGGGATACGCCATTCCCCCATGTCTTCGAACCCTTCTACTTACCGGACAAACATCGCTGTCTGGCTGCTGTCAAAGATATTGTCAATTATTGATGAGCTGTGAATTTGGATTGATTTAAACGAAACGGATGCATTTATCTACGGACTTTACTTTTAACTCCTAAGGTGTACAATTTTAACGGGCTTTTCACCACATTATGCGGGGAAACCAATAAAATGCTGGGCATAGAAAATTTGTTTTCAAATATAATTCAATGTTGAAGAGAGTGTTTATATTTTATACAATGGGGAACTACTTAAACAACAATTAAAAACTAATATAAGATATCTATGTATGTATTTTGGGAGTTCCAGCCAAACCATTTAGACTGGATTTTGTTCCTTGTTTGCTTCCCTGTTGTTCTGAAACTTGCTTATTCCTCTCTAACTCCCGCAGCTCGTCGGTAATATATGGAGAAAAGGCGGATCCGAAGAATACAAAGTATATTCTGTCTCAGTTTTTATTTATGTTAAAAATAAATTCAAATAATGTCCAACAAATAATAAATAACGTAAAAATATAACATGTAATATTTATTCTTCTTGAATCTTTCGAAGAATATGTTCAACAAAATCATTGATCATAGCTGGCATGCAACGTATTCAAAGGCGCATACTTTAACAGATAAGTAAAAATATTAGAAATAATTATAAAATACTCTTAACGAATTATGAATGTCATAAAAAGGCTCAATATCTAATTATATACGAGTAGTTTAAAAAATTGTTATGTTTTCTTTGGTTTTGGAAAAAACGTGAAATTAACCAATTTATGACTAATTTTTTAGAAAGGACGCCAATATATGGCAATGATCCCTGTTTGCTGACTCCTAACTCTAAAAGAAATATTCTATATCAATTGGTGCTTGCTTTAGTCAGTTTCCATTTCTTTTACCAAACTGAAAATTACATAAAATCAAAAAATAAATTCCTTTCGATGGACATGGATGGATTCGATTTGTATACTTACAGATCTTTCAATTTGAGCGCAGAATCAATCAAAGAAGGCGTCTGTGGATCAAAGAAAGTGGGAATCTCACCCCTAGAATCATCCAAAGTGAGGGATCCCATTGTGTGATTCAATTCTGCGATTGAGGCGCGTCTGGAATTGTCGGCGGCGTTCTTCCACACTTCCAATTGAAGTGCCATGAATTGGTTTTCCATATCTGGCCACTTGTTCTTTATCATTTGGATGGTATAACTTATTTTTATGGTTTGTCGGTACAACTCGAAGGTGCTTTCGCGCAAGTATTTTACAGATTGATTGTTAAGAGCCTCATTACGTTCTTCGGCAAATGCGATAAGAATTTCACGAAACTCCACCACCTTCAGTTCGTAGCTCCTCAAATATGTGGCACGAAACTTCTCCACCTTATAAAGATCCTGATTGATCATTTTATCACATATTTTGTCATCGACGTGTTTGCGCACGTCTCGCAGCACCGATTCAAAGCGTGCGATGATTCTATCGATGGAATCACGTATCACATTCCAAGCGGATGAGAAATTCACCCATTTCGTTTCCCAATTCGACAGTCCAGGCGCATTGTTTTGATACTGAAAACTCAAAAAATTAGCTACGAATGGAAGAATAATGTCTTTATTAAATGGAAATTGTATGTTTAAACAATTTTCCAATTATATATTCCCATTTAAATCAAATGTGTTGAAGCATTTACATTTGGAATCGTTTTTCCAATTTGTACAAGAGGGATTTTTTCCCGAAATAAATAGGATCTGATATTTATGTTTATAATTTGGGCGATTTCGAATTTTGTCCGTATTCGGAAACGGGTAAAAGTTTAAATAGGAATAAAAAGAAATAAGGAGGATCTATCTAGCTTTATAACAAATACAACTTACCATCTTTAAAAAAAACTCATGTCCGGCATTTTGCAATGCACGGAAATAATCTATAGCACCCATAAATTTCAGCTTCTGGGCATTCAGCGCTTCAATGTGCGGCTTAAAGGTGAGCAGAGCATCCTCCAGTGTCAGGACGTGGTCCCTTAAGGACAGCAAAAGCATTTTAAATTTCCTCTGCTCCTCGCTGAGCAGAAAATTAACCTCAAGAGCCAATTGTTTGGACATCCAGGTTTCTAGGCGCTTTGCCGTCGGGGGCATAAACAGGCGCATCAGCGGTGTGAGGTTCGGCTCCGGGAAATTATAGGTGCCATTTAAATCTAAGACATAGATCATTACGGGCGGTATGGAACTACGGGACCTACCACTAGTATCTTGCCAATGGTCCACAAACAGATCAGCGGGACGTGTCTGTTCTGTAATACGTTTATGGGGATGCCCCGTGGGCAGCAATAATACCACAGATTCCTGCGCAATGCCAGTGTCCCGGGCAATTAGATGCTGCAAATCCGATATGGTTGCGAGCTGTGGTGTTATTTCATAGGCCAAGCACTTATAGCTGCATGCTGCGAACACTGTCAGGACCTTGCAATCAAGCAGCTTGTCAAGTTCGGCGAATATTGCTGGCGTTTGTACCTCATCAGTTACCGGCTTTTCATCGTCGTTGTGGAACGTGCCACGCGTTTGGTATTTGGCATCTAGAGCGGATCTAAGCCAGTAGGTCATTTTTTTTGCTCTGACTTCGGTTAAGTGCCGTTCTTTGGGCAATTCATTATGAAATATAAAACTTTCGGACGTCGAATCCGGATCCTGTGATATTGAAATGCATTCGCGTGGTTTTTTGCCTACGTTAACTATGATGTTGAAGTGACTGGAGTGGGGTATGAAGGGCAAGCGGCCGCAACAGAGTTCAAAAGCAATTATGCCCATAGACCAGTAGTCTACTTTGTTATTGTACCGCCCCGTATCGACAACTTCAGGCGCATAATAATGAATGGTGCCAACAACGCTTTGTTGCAATGTCTTCAAGTTTTGATTGTGGCGGGCCAAACCAAAATCGGTTAATTTATATTGCCTTTTCCCATTATCACCTCGGTGTAGTACAATGTTATCCGGCTTAAGGTCACGATGGCAGATACTGTAGCGCCTGTGTAAATATTCGAGAGCCAAACGTAGCGACCGAAGGATTTCTCGCACCTCAAACTCGCTTAAGCCATTCGCATTCTCCGGCTATTGTAAAGTAATAATAAAATGGGTAACAAAGCAACAACAGCATAAATAGGCACTTCAGGACTTTACCTGTTGAAGAAGTCGTCGCACATCTCCACCATTGCAATATTCCATGACAATTACAGGCAAATCGTGGCCATGGTTACTGTTCAGATAGTTCATGAATGCAGGATCTGTGTCGTCCAGGAAAATGCCACGAACTATGTACGGCATTTCCGTAAGGTTTCGTGTCCAATTGTATTCTTGACGCCAGCGATCAAAGAGCTTACACCGCTCGTCAGTGCTCAAGGAGGAGCCATCTTTGAGGCGTTTCGTGGCTTAAAGTTAAGGAATTTGATTTATATTTCCCATATGTTAAGTATGTTTTGTAATCTTTTTTGCTTTTTCCTGTCATACGTATTTATTGATTGTTTATAAATTTTGATATCAATTGCTTGCATCAGCCAAAATTCTAGGAAATTCAATTCATATGTATGTACATATGTATGAACTCAAAATCGCACACACACACATACACACAAGTCCATGTGTGTACGTGCCTACAATGTTGAATTGAAAAATACTTGTTCTGGAGACAACATACCAATCTCCTGGCCGGTTTGGCTATTGCGCCAGTGCAATACCTCGCCAAATCCTCCTTGGCCCAACTTCTTTAGAATCATCCAGTTACCATAATTCTTAAGTGACGCCGGCATCTTTATTATGTATTTCTACTTTCTAAACCGACCGAAACAAATCTTGTGCGCACTTACTCTCCATACTTGCGCGGCAGGTTTATTAATAAACACATTCGATAACTCATAGGGTGTATATTCAATTGCTGTATGCTATGAAAGTGCAACGATAACAATTATTATATTGTGACAGTCACAGAAAAGGGACATTATGGACAAGATGGGAAATAATTCCTCATCGCTGCCAACTGAAAGAAAATCTGGTGAAGATGAACACGAATCTGGCGCAGTTGCTGTGCAGAGCTGCGAGTTTGAAGTTTTTGGCATTGTGCAAGGTATAGATGACATAAATAATTATGATAAACTAATCATTTTCATATTTTTTAGGCGTCTCATTTCGCATGGTAAATGCCGGGCTCGCAATTTATATTTGTCAATGTACTAATTATAAATATTTGCATACAGTATACGCAGCGCAAGGCACAGTCTCTAGGCATTCGGGGCTGGTGTATGAATACATCTGATGGAACTGTAAAGGGCGAAATTCAAGGCAACTCAAATGCTATGCATGAAATGTAAGCATACATATGTACATACATACATAATTGTATATACATATGTTCTTGTGTACATTTGTACTAACCAAATAAAATTTTGATTTATAGGAAATTGTGGCTCGAACGTACCGGCAGCCCCACAAGCCGTATAGACAAGTGCGTTTTTGGAGAAACCGCAGAATTACCTCAATATACACATGAAGAATTTACTATAAAGGTATAAATATGTTAATAAATGTTAACCGTTATTAAGTAAACTTGTACGAGTGTGGCCCTATCTTGTTTTTGGTGGGAGAGCAACAAGAAAAAAGGAGGAAACTAGTGGCAGCACAGTTTAGTCTTAGCACAGTCTGGCCACATCAAATTTTATGTTTCTGCTGCTGCCAAGACAAACAAATAAAAGCAATATATTTCGATCGTTTCGTTTGCGGCCGTATATAATAAAACTTTAAATTAGAATTGTGGTTTAACTTCCGTGCACGTGCGCTTGAAATTTTTGAGCGCGTCACGCTTTCACTTTCTCCTACAGAGAAGATAAAAAACAACAACAATTACAATAGACGACCGACCACGACGAAGAAGAGCAACACACAGAAAAGCCGAGCGCGAGGCTGGTAAGCAAGCATGAGTGGAGAAAATAGCAGACAAGCAGAAACGGACGACAACAGTAGCAACAACAACAGTAAGAAGAACAAGAGCAACTGGACAAAGAACACGGCGAAATTTGTTTAAAAATAGTATTTAAAATCTTTATGAAAAGAAATTGTAATAAATGCAGGCGCAACAACAATAGTACTGACCACGACCACAAATGAGCGCGACGCAACAGCAACAACAAATACAACTGGAAATTAACCCGAAAGCATCGGCAGCGACGTGTGTGTGTGCGCTTGTTTGCGTTGGAACGCACAAATTATAATTTAGGTCAAATGCGTGTTGAAGAAGCCAGAACACGAGCCAGCATTTGGAAATTCAATTGACAATTGCAGAACCAAGACTAGAAGTACACATCAAATTGCGATTGCGTTGCAAACTCATAAAATCTCTATGCCAGGATAACGCACAACATGGACAACACCCAACCGCAACAACAGTCGTCTCGAAATCGCCTGCCCTCCGCCTCATCAGCAGCACCATCAGCAGGCAGCCCACCATTGAGCGCTAGTCTAGGCGGCGGTCCCAATGCCACAGCAGCTAGCAGCATTTTGGGAGCTGAGACCACATCTAATAGTCCGCATCAGCAGCACAGTCGACCTGGCAATATCGGACATCAGCGTAGCCATAGCATAACAAATACCGCCGCTACATCCCTTGCAAATCTCATAGACGGCTTTACGGCGCGTGTGGCCAGCACAGCGGTTAGTGTGGCCGGCGGTGGCATCTTGGATCGCAGCCACAGTGCCGCCAGCACGCCCAGCTCAACGACATCCGGTGGTCTGGCGAGCATTGGCATTGGTCCCGGTTCGATAGCTAGTTTAACGAGCATTGGCTCACTGGGCACCACAGCTAATGCATTTTACTCCTCAATAGGCAGTGCTCTCAATTCGATAACATCACCCATTACGGCAGCAGCTGCCGCTGCTACTGCCACAACCACTGAGGTGGTTGTAGCCGCCGCCTCTGCCATCACAAATCACCTCAGCTCGCCCACCAGCGGCTCCCCGCCCCATGGTCTCGGGGATGATGACGATGACTGCGATGATTGCGAAGACGATGACGAGGATGGTGTGGACAATGATGGTCACATTGCGGCGCCAACTCCCAAAAAAACCTGGGCTGAGAACAAAACCGTTGTTCAAGAGATGCGCAAACAATTGTCCAATTTGTCCACTATGGTGCCAACAAATGTGGAATTTCGCAACTTATCAGATGGTCGAGCGCGTTGCTATTTCCTTAGCACTCCCCCGCAAACGTGGGAGACAACATTGCTCTTCATTGACATCAACTTGAGACAGCGCAATGAGCAGCAGCTTCTCGTTCAGGAATTGGGGCATGTCGAGACAATTGGCGGCGATGGCACTGGATCAAATGCAGCAACAACAACAACAACGAACATGCACTCTGGCGCCAGCTCGCCAACGCCAAGCTCCTCGGCTACACCTTCGTTTCATTTTGGTGGCGGCCTCGGACAACCGCGACTGCACAAGCCAAGGTAATGCAATTTTTAGTGTCTGATTAAAACGAACCTGAAATTTTCGTTAAACCATAGACTACCCTGGCATCCGGTACTGCAACAGCCAATACCGAGCGCCACAATCACCAGCAGCAGCAGCAGTGGTGGCAGCAACAGCAGCGGTTCTAGCAATCCCTATGCACGTGAATTCCAACTACTGCAGGAGCGCAAACGCCTCCCCACCTGGGGCATTACCTCCTATGAGTTGCACAAGCCTAGTGGCAAGATTGTGTTCCCCTGTTTCAATGACTTGTATCAATGCCTGGACACGGGCTATAATGTAAGTGCATTTTCAAGACAAACCAAAACACAATCGTACTATCCTATAGATTATTAAGTAAAATGAAGTTGACTGTCATCCCAAATGTTAGAGTAGAAAGCGTATGATATGTCTAAACTGGATCAGTGTTAAGATAGATTCTCAATGGAAAGCAGCTAGAATGAAACAAATTATAGCTAATACTAAGAAACAATACTTTTTTATTATTAATATTTTATCATTATTCAAAAAATTACTGCCGTACTTTAAAGGGCATGCTATCTTTAAATCATTACCATTACACATTTAATTAAAAATCAAAATGTTTATTATTCTGTACGCTTTTTAACAAGATTCGTTCTAATGTCTTCTACATGTAATGCTGTGATCTTCTGACTATTTTCTATCTTTCAGACGGGTCTACTATTTCCCACACAGCTGCGCACATGTCCTCAGTGGGCCGCACTGGACCCGCAAATATGTCCGCAGAACTCCGATCTGATTGCCTACATCAGTGACTGTGATATTTGGGTGACGCACACGCTCAGCGGCAACGAGAAGCGTTTGACTTTCACGAGCAGTGGTCGTCGGACGTATGCGGATGATGCCCTCAGTGCCGGCGTTCCCTCGTATGTCATGCAGGAAGAATTCAGTCGGTATCAAGGATACTGGTGGCAGCCGCACTCAGAAGATGGCATCTATCGCATTGTGTACGAAGAGGTGGACGAAACAGATGTATCCCTGTATACGTTTCCATCATCATCGACGGCTGTGCCGGGCGAGGTAGATGAGTATCGATTTCCACGTTCTGGCACCACCAATGCCAAGTCTAAGCTCAAAATGGTGCAATTCGTGCTGAACGAAGCATTGCAAATTAGTGAGATCTGTACCAAGGATTTGCCTTACTCCCTGCTCGCTGTTTTCCCATGGCTGGAATATATAGTGCGAGTCGGCTGGACGCCGGATGCCAATTAGTAAGTATTATAATGAGCTCAAAATGTTTACCACATTTGATGTATGCTTGTTTTGGTTGTTAAGTTCAATTTTCCCCCACAACTTATCACTAATGGCAAATTTTTGCATGCCTTGTATGTTTCTAAATCTCTAAAAGGGGGTATGATGCTGTTGTCGTCCAAACTTGAAAGTTTGCTTTAACTTTTTTCTAACGCTAACTCAAGCCAACTTTAAGATGTTCTGTATCTTGTTTTATATACTTAAAAATGAGCTAAATCGGTCTATTTTATGATATATCTGTCATAGGAACGATCAACAAAAGTTATTATAAGTAGTAGTTTTAACATTATAACATATGCTTAAATGTTAATTGAAGACTACATCATATAGCCCCCAAATTTGTTGTTTGTATTTATTATTTAAAAGCGGAAGATGAAAGATTATATATACATACATATATTTTACGCATATTCTTATTTCTTCTCATATATAGTATTTATATCCCACATTCGTTTCTTTCAGTGTGTGGCTGCAGGGTCTGGATCGTAAGCAGCAACGTTTGGACGTGCTGCTCATACCGCTGGACAACTTTTGCGAGTCTTACAGCAGTCAGGTGTCCACACCCACAGACTCGATCGGGGACCACAGCTGGCGCAGTCCCTACAATCGCACCATAACGCCACTGCAGGTCATCTATACAGAGCATTCGGAGAGCTGGATAAATGTGCATGATTTACTTTATTTTCTGGAGTTCACAGACCGTACGGTCACATATGTCTGGGCCTCCGAGGAGACGGGCTTCAGGCATTTGTACTTGGTTACCTCCAGTCTGCTGTTTACGCACGTCAATGGCTGTCAGCAGGACGTAGGATCGGCAGCTCAACAGCAATCACAGCCCTCTTTTCTGGAACCGGCAGCGTTGCAACCGCGCATTGTTAATAAAGTGGCACTCACATCCGGCGAATGGGAGGTGTTGGCACGCAGTCTTTGGGTGGATAAACCGAAACAGCTAGTCTACTTTGTAGGACTGCGTGATACGCCGCTGGAAAAGCATTTGTATGTGGTCAGTTTGCAGCGGCCAGAGCACATACGTCTGCTCACCGAACCAGGCTACTCGTATCTGGTGGAATTTGATGATGTAAGCAAAAACTTCAACACAGTTTTAGAATATAAGGAATGCGTGGAATTTCGAAGCTTAAAAGGGTGAACTTGACCCTAGATAACAGTAACAGGCAGAAGGAGTAGGAGACTTCATATATAGACATGTTTAACTCTCCGTACATCTGTAGGAACACTGACAAGTTTGAAACTAAGCTTGCTAGGAATACGAAACTTTATACGGAGTGTTTTCTTTCACAATTCAGTTTTGGAAGAGTAACTTCTTGTTATGAATATTACTTGAAGTTTCTTTTGTTTTCATTACTACGCTGAGTCTACAATTTCAACAATTAAGTATTTTAATTCTGAAGCAGGTCAAGAAGAGCTTATATTAGTTTTATATACTTTTGAAATCTATAACTTTCTTACAAAAATCGAATTTAAATTTCAAATTAGTTTTCGTGGTGCAGAAAACTGTATCACAGTCTACAACTTTTAGTAATTTTAATTAAAATTTATTTATATTCAAAATTCATAATAACTTTCGTATAAAAATCGACGAATTAGCAAGAAAATTTTTAAGCCAAAATCTAGACTGCTTCTGTTTAATGTTGAAAAGTAAATTCCAAATTAATTTTCCTAGAACTCTTAGTAATTTTAATTGAAAGATTTATTATTGACATATTTTTAAAATTCAACAGCTTTCTTACAAAAATCGACAAATTAGCTAGCAAATTAGAAAGTCTAATAACCTTAATCTTACAAATTCTCATTTAAAAGTATATCGTTTCACAATCTCCCTTTCTTCATTTCTTTAGCAATGCCATCTGATGCTGTTGGTCTATTGTAATATCCAGCGTCTGCCCAGCTGTAAGGTGATGCGTGTAACGCAAACATGCCAGAATGGCGGCGTCAATGGCATTCAAATCTCATTGGTGGGCTATTTGCATGAGGGGGGGAAGCCGGAGCCACAGTATTGTCCGCAAATATTTCGACCACAACTGCCATCTGGTGAAATAGTCTATGCCATGGTGTTCAAGCCGCATAATTTTCAGTTGGGTGTCAAGTATCCGACTGTTCTGAATGTCTACGGCGGACCCGAGGTCCAAACGGTCAACAATACGTTCAAGGTAATTGGTTGTCTATAATACTGTATCATCATCTAATTTATACTACATTTTTCTGCGATTTTCCAGGGAAAACATCAGCTGCGCATGCACATGCTGGCCGCCCAGGGCTATTGTGTCGTCTGCATTGATTCCCGTGGCTCCCGACATCGGGGCATACGCTTTGAGAGTCATATACGCGGGCGCATGGGTCAAGTAGAACTAACAGACCAAGTGGATGCCCTGCGCATACTGGCCGATCAGTTGGGATACATTGACATGGAACGAGTTGCCATACATGGCTGGTCCTATGGTGAGCTTGATTACGAATAAATAAATTAGTCATAGTATTTAAATATATATCCATAAACTGGGAGTTATATAAAAAAAAATCTGAGAATTTTGTAAAAGAGCCGAATTCCATAAAATATCTTTGTTTTCCATTTCAAGGAATGCTTTCCGTTTAAATTGAAGTTAAATAGCCCCAGTATTTTACCAATTTGAAATACAAATTCCCTTTGAAAACCAGAGACTCATAAAGCTTTTATCTATCTTTTATTTAACTATATGCGTAATCTGTCATTTGTTTATGATCTGTCTTTTGTTTATAATTTACAGGCGGCTACCTCAGCCTAATGGGTTTGGTGCAGTATCCGGAAATCTTTAAGGTGGCCATTGCAGGCGCTCCAGTTACGAATTGGGAGTATTACGACACTGGCTATACGGAACGATATATGGATTTGCCGCAGCATAACGAGGCCGGCTATACGGCGGGCTCAGTGCTCAATTACGTGCAATCGTTTCCCGAGGAGTAAGTACATTGCTTGTCCCCCGAATATGTTCACAATTTTCATTAAATATTGGACTTATTGCAGGGATAATCGTTTGCTGCTCATACACGGGCTCATCGATGAGAACGTGCACTTCTATCATACGTCGCAGCTGATCAGCGCCCTGAATAAGGCTAATAAGCCGTATTCGTTGCATATATTCCCCGAGGAGCGGCATTCGTTGCGAAATTTGGAATCGAATAAAAACTACGAAACGAAATTACTATCCTTCTTGCAAAACTTATGAGATTCGTAAAAATGGCACAATACATTATCCTTGCATACATACACACACACACAGCGCTAGTTTATCGTTTGTCGTCGTCCTGTTAGTGTTTTTATATAAAACCCGAACCCACATATAGCGCCCCATGATATCAATAATTGCATATATGTCTATATATATTATTGTAATAAAATTCACATAAAATTTGCAAAAGTTTTAAGTATTGACTTAACTAAATGAAAACTATATATATACATATGTTAGATTATGTTTTTACTGCAAAATCAATTAACAACAAAACGAAACAAAAACAAATCAGTTGGACCTTCGTCTTTTCTCTATCTGCGTCGCTTTTGCCAAACATTTGTAACTTTTATCATTTTTCCCAACTTATTTGTTGTGCTGCTATGTAATTATATATATAATGTTTTTAAAATGTGTTAACTTCAAACCTCTTAATGTATATCTTTGCTTAAAACAAAAACAACGCGAAGAAATAAACAACAACAAATTGTGTATATTTGTCTCTAGTTAGTCTAACAATAAGTTCTTAATTCTGTGTTGTTTTTTTTTATTTTTAGCTAAGCATTATTAGTGGGCGTGGCCAGCGACCGCCATAAATTGAAACCATATATAATATATATATGCTATTTATAATAATTACCACACAACTTGCAATATGTATATTTAAAAGAGTTCGACTAGATGTAAAATTTTTGGCTGCATTAAAAATAGAAAAAAAAAACCAACATGATGATAAAACATAGTTAAAGAATTAATTTTAAAAATTGCTATATTTTGTTTAAATTATCAAATAAACAGCTAAATTTAAAAGTAAAAAGTAATGTTATTTTGTGATCTAAGTTCGTTTGTTTAGATATTCATTCAGGCCTCAACCAGCTGAGAAAGTGAATCTCAATACGAAAAATGATTGTGTTATTCGGTTTTCCACTTCATTTCCGCCTTACAATTTCAATTCCTTCCTGGTCGGGCCTTTCAGAACCAGTATCAAAATCCATCACTTTATTCTGAAAAATGATGCAATTATTCAGTTTTCAATCGATTTCCCACTTTATTTCAAGGGTTAATCAAATTTCTCAATGACGTTTTTCCACTTTCTTAACTAAAACTTTGTCTATTTGACAAATTTATTTTCTCATGTTCGGCTTTATTCCGGTTTCAAACTTCTTCCCACTTCGCCCTTAAAATTGTTCGGTATTTCGAGAGTTGAACAGTTTTAGTTCCTCATCATTTTATTAAGTATTTGATATTTCAAAAGACTGCGTATTATTAAATAAATATAAATTGGGAACGTGACAAAATTGATTCCACAAGTCTGAATGATGCTGACGCTACTTGGGTTAAAAATAGGCCCACAATCAAACAGACAATTGTACTTATATATTTAGAAATATATGCATTCACTGCAGAAATTTATTATATTTTCAATTCTGTTGCTTTCAGTAAATTGTCTACCTCTTGAGAATTCATATTTGTATAAGCACTATAAATAAATTTTCGAAAATATGAACGCAGTTATTACGATTTAATTTGAAATTGTTTATATTGCTCTATTTGTTTGTTAATAAACATAACTAACACAAATAATTTTGAGTTTTCTGGACAGGCTAAAAGTTAATTTTGGTTTGCACGTCTTAACGTCTTAACTTGATAATTTGGTAATATCAGATTAAATCCAGTCACAGCTTAAAATAAATATACATATAGTTAACAATGCTGAGATATATATATATATATATATATATATACAGTTATAACTATAACCCCTTCCCCCCCTAGGCAGCCGGTATTGTGCTGCCTAATTTAGTCCACCTCCTCGACAGTGGGGCCTTTGTAGCCCCCGAATCCGCCCGACTGTTGGCCACAGTTGCCGGAGCCAGCAGCTGAAGGATTCCCCTGATGCATTCTGGTCATGATGGGTGAGCAGTGCTGGGTGAGCTCCTTCAACTTGTATTCATACTCGTCCTTCTCAGCGGTGGTGTTCGAGTCCAGCCACTTGATGGCCTCGTTGCACTTCGCCAACAAAGTAGACTTCTCGGCCTCACTAATTTTGTCGCTGGGGGCCTGCTCCACCGCTTGCTTCACGCCAAACACGTAGCTCTCCAGGCTGTTACGCGCCGCTATACGCTGGCGGTGCTTCTCATCCTCTTCGGCATAGCGCTCGGCCTCGTTCACCATGCGGTCGATCTCAGCCTGGGAGAGGCGACCCTTGTCGTTCTTGATCGTTATGTTCTTCGCCTTGCCCGTGCTCATCTCCTTGGCTGTCACATTGAGGATGCCGTTGGCGTCCATGTCGAAGGTCACGTCAATCTGGGGAACACCGCGCGGAGCAGGAGGAATGCCGGATAGGTCGAAGGTGCCCAGCGCATTGTTGTCGCGCGTCATGGCGCGTTCGCCCTCAAACACCTGGATGGAGACGGCGGGCTGGTTATCCGCGTAAGTGGAGAAGGTCTTTGTCTGCTTGCAAGGTATGCGGCTGTTTCGTTCAATTAGCTTCGTCATCACTCCGCCGGCGGTCTCAATGCCCAACGATAGGGGCGACACATCCACCAGAAGCACGCCCTGGATCTGGTCACTCTTGTCGCCACTGAGGATTGCAGCTTGAACGGCTGCACCGTAGGCCACCGCCTCGTCTGGATTTATGGAGAGGTTCAGAGTCTTGCCGCCGAAGAAATTCTGGAGCAGGCTCTGTACCTTCGGTATGCGCGTAGATCCTCCCACAAGGACAATGTCGTGGATCTGTTGTTTGTCCATTTTGGCATCGTTCAGTGCCTTCTCCACCGGATCGAGAGTCTGACGGAAGAGGTCGGCGCACAGCTCCTCGAAACGGGCGCGGCTTACTTTCGTGTAGAAGTCGACGCCCTCGAACAATGCGTCTATCTCAATGGTGGCCTCTGTGCTGGACGAGAGAGTGCGTTTGGCACGCTCAGCTGCTGTGCGCAGGCGGCGCAAAGCTCGGGGATTGGAGCGAAGATCCTTCTTGAACTTTCGCTTAAACTCCTCCGCCAAATGAGTGACAAGGCGATTGTCAAAGTCCTCGCCGCCCAAATGTGTGTCGCCGGCTGTGGATCTCACCTCAAACAAAGAACCCTCGTCGATGGTAAGGATTGAGACGTCGAAGGTGCCGCCGCCCAGATCGAAAATCAACACATTGCGCTCTCCCTTCAGATTCTTGTCCAAGCCGTACGCCAAAGCGGCGGCTGTCGGCTCATTGATGATGCGCAGCACATTCAGACCGGCAATGTGGCCCGCATCCTTGGTGGCCTGGCGCTGCGAATCGTTGAAGTACGCAGGCACTGTGATCACGGCGTCGGTGATGGTCTGTCCCAGATACGCCTCAGCTGTCTCCTTCATCTTGGTGAGCACCATCGAGCTGATCTCTTCTGGCGCAAACTTCTTCTGTTCCCCCTTGAACTCGACCCCAATCTTGGGCTTGCCGCCGTCGCTCACCACCTTGAATGGCCAGTGTTTGATGTCCTCTGCAATCTTTGGATCGTCGTACTTCCGACCAATCAGACGCTTTGCATCGAATACCGTGTTGTTCGGATTCATGGCCACCTGGTTCTTGGCAGCGTCACCGATCAGCCGCTCCGAGTCTGTGAATGCCACATAGCTGGGCGTGGTGCGGTTGCCCTGGTCGTTGGCAATTATTTCCACCTTGCCGTGCTGGAAGACACCAACGCACGAGTAAGTGGTTCCCAAATCAATACCGATGGCTGGCATTTTCACTTTGTTTTCTGCTCTTTTCGTTTGCACTCGCACAGGTAAGTTTCTTGTTAAATCTTATTACGCTTTTAAGAGATTTTTACTTTTTCTCCACACTTCACTTTTTTTATATTTTACTTGTTCACTTGTTAAAGGCTTTGACTTGAATGTTTAACCGCTTGCTGCGACTTTTCGCTTTAACTGCTTGATTTCAAATGTGGCGAAGAGTGAAAAGCCGGCCCTATTTATACTGATGCTCTCTGTTGTGGAAATTTCGAGAGGCATTCGGCGAGAAGCCGGTAGAATATTCCGCATACTAGAGTGAGTGCGAAAGGGATGGCGGGCAGTTTTGTTATTGTTAAGTTGGTGAGTAGGAATTGCTTGAGAGAGGGAGAGCAGTTTTCAGTATGTTGTGGTATCGAGTAACGATTAGAATTTTCCCGAATTTGCCGCTATTTTGGCCTTGACCTACCCCAAATATTTTCTTTTGCCATATGGAAGCATTTTCTGCGCAATTGAAAAATTAAAGTTTTTTTAAAGGCCATTTGTGTTTTTCTGCGAATGTACATTTAATTTCTCTTTCAAAAATTGTTTATCTTGCGCGCCGGCTGCATCCATCTGTCTGTGAATGACTTTATTACCTATTTTTAGCTTCTCCCGAGTGGGTGGAATTGACGCCTTTCGACAGATTTATATAAACGCGTCTTTAAATATGAACAGAAATGTGTACATACATATGTACATGCGTTATTTATTACATATATTAAGAAATTACATATGTACATACTATACATATGTATGTATATTAAAAAGAAGTAAATTCGCCTTACCGGCTGAAATGTTTAAGTTCAGTTGCAACTTGCAATTAAAGCAGCTATTAAAGCAGTGACGTCACGTGATTCATGGATGTGAGAACAGAACACTTTTTATGTGAATCAATATTCATTGTTTTGGTCTATATTTTTTATAGTTTTAATATGAATTGACATTTGGAAACTCACAATCGCATCTTTTAAAGCAAATCATGTATTATACGTGTGTGTATGTATGTACATATGTATTCGCCGGTATAAATAAATTATTGATTGCTCTAAGTATTAAAGTGTAGTACATATTTAGGCCTATTTATAATATGACATTCGATGTACATACATATGTACACATGTATGTATGCCTGAGTATATTGAAGGACACTGATTCAGACCTGCCTCATCTGGAATCGCCTTCATGTTATAAGCCTCATGCTTATCTAAATTAATAATCATCTAAATTATTAAATTGCAATTCAAGAGATTTCTTTTTAAGACTGAAGCACTGCATGAAAGCTGTGAACTAGAATAAATATGCCTATTAGGTTTTTTCTGATTTATTCTAAATAACTCATTATCAATAAGAATAAACCAGTATGATCTAAAAATACGCTTTTCGAGTTTTTTGGTAAAGGCCGTTCAAAGTTTTCTTTTGTTTATGGACGAAGTAAGCCGCGAGGCACAATATAACCAGGTTCTAAATTCTTATATTATTAGTATATAAATTACTATATGATAGAACGATTCGAAGTTTATGAATTTCCATCAGTACAAAAAATTGCGATGTATACATTTTTTAAAATGTCAGTTCAAAACAAATATGTCATATGCACGTATTAAAAAATTATTTTATGAACATCTTTTTCGGATTTTATTATTTTTCATTCGAGTTTTAACTTTTTTTGATACATATGAATTATATATGTATGTATGTATTATCCAAAAGGGAAATTGAGAATATTTTTAGTTCATCTTAATATTTAAACATATCAAATCTTTTAAACTCTATTCGATGAATAGTAAAAAACATTTTAAAAATAGTATTATACAAAATATTATACACAGCGTATGTCTAAATTGTTAATCATTTCTAATTCGAACTATGTAATCCCTATCTACCTTGAAAGTTTACCCTTCTACTTCTATTTTATGTGTATTTGTATTTCGCTTCACACCCAATACGTATTGAATAGCAACCACTATAAAAAATATGGAACCTATGGCAATGAAATAAAATCCATAAACTACAAACTGTTCAATTGGGCCCAGCTGTAGACCTGAGATTACCAGAAGGGTGAGAACCGTTTGTAGTATCAGGGCCACGAGTGTATTAATGCCAAAGATCAGAGCAAAACTATCCTCGACCAGACTTTGTGCCAATTCAGCGCTGCAAGTAAAACAAAACAGATGAGTGCCAAGAACTTGAGAAGGTATCTAGATCCAATACCCACCTAGCGACGGTGATGGTGAATCCAAAGAGGCCGCCAAAGAGCGTGTAGCCCACATACGAGAGATATATGTTCTTGGGCCAGCAGGCCAACAATATGCAGCCGCCTTCCAGTAACGCAAATACCGCCAGAGCTATAAGGCTGGTTCTCGATTTCAAGCGACCGGCATGAAGATAGCCCGCCATTAAAGCGAAACCGGCGGCCAGGGCGGTAAAGGCAGCGTCCACAGCCCCATTCCAGACGATCTACTGATTTAATTCGATAAGTGTGACGAATCGGATCGCCATGAAAATACTTTACAGACCGTAAACGGTTTTGGAATTTATACGCACAGATGGTTCGTTCTCGAAAGACTTCCAAAGCACTTGGATGTACGAGGTAGCTTGCAGATAACCGGCCAGGGCCACCGCATACCACAGACTCCACTGGACGACCATAGGATTTGTGTAGGCACTACGAAAGTGCAGCCACAGAAGTTGTAATGGTTGGATACTAGACTTGGCAGTTGATTCTGACCCCTTCGATAGGGAGGCCTCTGATGGGGCTGTGGTTTCGGACACTGCCATATTTACATGCCCCTGCAATTCGTTAGAGGCCTGTGGGGTTTTCTGGTGGAAATACAAGCTTAGCTGCACTCGGGGCAAGAAGAAGGCCCAGCACATGGCTAACACTTGAGCTGAATGAAAAGACAAACATTTTGTAATATCCAAAACTAAGACTCCATTTGGCACAATCTTACAGGCCATTGATATATACACGAGCCCTCTGTAGTTCATCAGTTTCCACATAATTAGGGCTTGTGCCGACAGACCCGCTACTAGTTTTCCAGCGAACATTGCCGCTCGGGTGTGCGAAGTGACAATTGGATAATATTTCTTATCGACCTTGGCATATATATAGGAGTAATAGGCCACCTCAGCGGCCTGATAGAACCCATAGAAGACCTCCACAATCTGTAGACTCCACACAGTCGAGCAGAAGAGCAATAAGCCCCAGATAAAAGTGCCGGTAATGGCATTTGCTATAATAACAGGCTTGTATCTGTGAAATGATGTTTTAAAAAAAGTAGTTAGCGCTTTGTAGGAAAATCTTTCCAATACCCTTCCACTAAAATTTATTTTTTGGGAGAAATTATTGCTATCACAGTTAAATGTTACTTAGGTATGGTGCAGTGATTTAATTCAAACTGGATTGGATATGTACAACTCTATAAACTAACGAGGCTACGTATAAAATGTAATTCACTAAATATTCGAAGTTTAGTGGCCCTAGCTGTAAGGGCTTAAAAGTTATCGATGTTCATACAGACGAACATTTCTAAATCGTTTCAGCTCGTCATGCTGGTTACATGCGCACTTTTAACACACTTGTGTCTAGACTTACCTGAGAAAATCCGTAACAAGAAAAACCACAATGAGGAGTGCGAGGTACGAATATGTGGCAATGGGATATACGTCGCGATTCAGCTGATCCTGAGTCACATTGAATGTATCCCCCAGCAGGAATTCGGTGTGGTACGGCTCCGAAGGTCGCAATTCGCGCACGAATCCGAACACACACAATATGCAGGAAACCTTTAGCCAGGGCTCCATGCTTCGTAGTCGTGATCGCGGAACTCACACTCGCCTTCAACCGCTTCAGTTAATCGCCAACTGACTAATGTAAGTAGCTGCCATCGAGCTGTTCCGATTGCATAGTAAATTGATTATATAGTCGTATATGTGCATAATATTCTGTTATAAAGCCCTCTAATCAGCGCCGGTGTTTAAAGATTACAGTGGCAGTCAACAACTGAACCCAAAGGTGCACGACCACTTTGCTGATTATCGCACGTGAGCTCAGACCGATTATGGGAACAGCGAGGCTAGTTCTCAGACAATTTTCTATTGAGTAATTAATTTAATGAGCTACTAAATTAGTTCTTTGTTTTATTGGAACTTAATTGAGAACCCGTCAAACCTGTTGATGTCTACAATGTAAATATAAATTTTCATTTCCAACGTCGTAGGAATACATATTTAAATATGCACATATGTGGGTCTTTTTCCGGTTGATCTAGATATAATGTATAATTTTGAGTTGGTTCGAATGTGCGAGCTAAAGACCTAAAGAGTTGCAAAGAAAAGATGAATCACTTTTGAGTTCACTTTTGGCGTGAGGGTTCGGGTTCTTAGAAACATATGTATGTATAAAATATACTAACGTACATACTTATATCCAAAACAATTGTAACACTTGTATTACCTTAAAGAACCACAAATTACTGAGGAAAATATGAGACTGTCTGTCTATCATTTCCTTAATTTTGTAAATATAAGTTGAATGTAAGTAGGTCTGTGTTGATGTTCACGGAAAAGTCTTGTGATATTTATAATTTATTATATCGCCACCTTTTAATCAGTTCAAGTAAGCCTATAAGAAACTTCCAAACAATTTTTAATTTTGGAACTAATCGACTACAAGGAAAATATAGACATATAGTATATATTAACATAAATTCCCATTGGTGGTGATTCCAGTTTCTGTCCTGCTTGGGACTTAAAATGGGATCTACATGTTTTATATGTTACATACATGGTGCGCCATCTTTTATGTCGGTATGTACATATTGACTTGAGTAGACCAGTGTTGAAAAGTTCAAGAAGTTGTACAGAACGAAATAAAATAAAAATATCTCATACTTGAAAATCGGTTGTTTATTTTCAAGGATATTCAATGTTTGCACACCGACATAAAAGATGGCGCACCCTGTACTTCCTCCCTTAACTAGTTTTACCCTTTCACCGTTTGGGTACAAAACTTCATAATCTCAATTGATTATAATACGTAAACACATGTATGTATATGTATTTATAAATGAAGATGTTTCCAGACAGATTGAATTTTAGATATAGTAGTGTGTATGAATGAATGGCATTACGAGCAAACGAAATTCATTATCATTTACTTTGTGAATGTAAGCCTTAAAAATAGTTTGTTAGTGGTTGGACCTTGAGGTAAAGTTAGGGACCAAGAGATTGGAGATATTGGTTGTAGAAACTATATATTGTTTACTCACCTTATAGTGTTCGAACCTGACGACGAACGAATATTGAAGACCTGCGAATATAAGGAATACTTATAACCTAAATTCAAACAATAAAGTGTATATACGTTCATTAATTCCAATACCAAAAGTTGGGCCTCATGCTATTTACGGGTGGAACAGAGAGTTATGCTCAAAAAGCAGGGTTTTCATATCAGATATACACGTAGCTAAATAAACAAATACTTATTTACTAATACGTTATTTATGAACAGATTGGGTATACCTATGTATATGTGAAGTTAAATAATTAAACAGGAAATTGAATTCCTGTTCAAATATCTACCTCCAATAGAGGTCCTCCATCTACCTTGTGTCTTCGGTTTTTCTTCGGCTAAGAAATGTTTGCTAATAAGCTGTGAGAATACTTTTAAAAATTAAGTTATGGCCAGACTGGCAAATAGTTTGCATGCAAATCATGAATTGAATTTATAGATTTCTGAATTCAACTTTCAATTAAAACCAATAGTAATTCTATACCAATATATATGTAGATACAAACAATTCCAGATCAACTCTTCAAAACCTTCAACACAAATTTGTGTGCAAAATATTGGCATATTTAACCGTAGCCTTAGTTGTTCCGGTTTTATAACAATTGTTTTCAGAAAATGCCAAATTATTGATGTTAGAAAATGGTTTAGCTTTTTATTTTACAATCTTTTAAGTTAAACTAAGGTATTAATGCGCTAAAACTAAATGTATTAATGTATAGTTATATGTTTTTTACATGTGTATAAATCTTTTAATATGGTATTGCGTTCTTAAACAAACATTTGTGTTTTTGTTCATAGTAGGTGGGTGAGGCGTACTAGTATTACCGGCTTAAAACACCAATTAAATAAGAAACCTTTTATTCTAAAACGCAATAGTAAAATACTTGATTATTTCATTATATTTTTCATTGACATATAATAAGTTTTACGCTTAAACTTAACGCCTCTTCTACATTTTCTGTAAAATAGTTTAGACTTAGACCCCACAGGGAACTTCAAAGGGTACCCAAAGGGTACAAGGGTATATTAGTTTTGTGCGAGTGCACATGGAACACACAGAAGGAGGCTTGGTAGACCCCACAAAGTATATATATTCTTGATCAGCATGACAAGCCGAGTCGATATAGCCATGTCCGTCTGTCCGTCTGTCTGTCCGTCTGTCTGTCTGTCTGTCTGTATGAACGCAAGGATCTCCGAAAGTATAAGAGCTAGAATAACCAAACTTGGTATACAGATTCTCCTGAGACCGAGAAAGGACGAGTTTGTTAATTTTTTCTGATCCGCCCCCCCCCCCCCACTCCCCCCCTATTACTGATTTTCTATAACTCCCGTAATTCTTGGAATTTTGAGCTAAAATTTGGTAGTCACATTAGGTTAGTAATTATATATCCGTATACCAAGTTTCATTATGATAAAATGATCGGAAAGAAAGTTATAGCCGTATAACCAGGCCCAATGCACACATACATACATATGTACAAGTACACAAACACGCATAAGGCACGATTCTGATGTAAATGTAAATGTATGTATGCATGCATGGAATATTTTATATTTAATTAGTTAATATTTAGTTAATTAATTAAATTAATTTAGTTAATTAATTTAATTTAATTAATTATATTACTTTTTTGTGGGGTGGTACAGGGTATTTAAGAGTTGAGCCTGCTCGACTTTAGCATTCCTTTCTTGTTACCTATGAAAAGATTCAAAGATTCTGAAAACCATTCCAACACCACAGATGTTGACATTCTTAGATACAAATGAATTCAATTTGACAAATCTTTACACATTTCCTTCAAGAGCTTAACATAATTTGGCTTTCATGCCTTACGGTTCATTTTACGTCGACTATTTCGGTTTTTAAAGCGTTTTTTGTAATGTACTACTTTCTCCATTTTAAGTAAATACATACCTTAATTGTATTATATGCTTATTTATTTAATTTATGATGGGTGGTCATATAAATTACCTTTAAGGCTTTCAGATATTCAGGACCCTTATTTTTCCAGAAAAAATGTTTTAATTCCAAAATTATCAACAAGTCTAAAACAATAATAAAAATACATCATATAAATGTATGTATGTATGTGTACATATTTTTCCTGACGGTTCCTCAATACTTTGGTATTTCAGCATTTAATGTAACGAAACATTTTCCATCAAATTTTTAAGGCTAAGCTGCAGGACAGTGATTGATTTTTTTTGCAATGCAAGTGTCCTTATACTTTTTTGCATGACTGTGTTTCGGTCTATTACAGTTAGTACAAAAGAATTAAATAAAAATGAATTATCATAGATATGCAGTTATGATTATAACCTTCACCTGAGCAATTCTTTAAAGTGTAAGTCTTTAGAAAAGAAACTCTTGTGTAGTCATAAATAAAAAATCATATCATTCACTTAAATATAGTATGTAAGTATGTATCTGCGCATATGAGTGTAAAAAGTGTTTTATAAATAGAATTGATATGAAAATGTGAAAAGTAATAACACGCAATTTCAATTGCGCAGCAAATCCATAAGGCATGGAAAAATAGTTGGGGTAGGTCGCAGGCAAACTAACGGCGAATTTGAGAAAATTCTAGTTGGTTACTCGATACCACAACATACTGGAAACTGGTCTCTCTCTCTCGAAAATTCGTACTCGATACACACATAAACGCCTGAATAAACCAAACGCTGAGCACCATCTCTTTCGCACTTACTGCAGTTTGCATATAATATTCTACCGGCTTCATGCACTTACTCTCTTGTATGCCGAATGCCCTACCGGCTTCTCGCAGTCAGCGTCTCGAGATTTCCACAACAACCTCAGTATAAATAGGACCGTCATATTGCTAGTCGCCCCAGATAAAATAAACGAAACCAACATTCAAACATTCTATTCAATTCATTAATAGAATGTTTGAATGTTCGACGATCCAAAGATTGCAAAGGACATCAAACACTGGCCATTCAAGGTGGTGAGCGACGGCGGCAAGCCCAAGATTGGGGTCGAGTTCAAGGGGGAACAGAAGAAGTTTGCGCCAGAAGAGATCAACTCGATGGTGCTCACCAAGATGAAGGAGACAGCCGAGGCGTATCCGTGACCATTACAACCAGAATGTATCAGGGAAGCGCTCCAGGTGCTGGCTACTGCGGATAACAGTCGGGGGGATTCGGTAGCTACAAGGGGCCCACTGTCGGGGAGGTTGACTAATTTAGGCAGCCCAATTCTTGGGTGGGGATGAGGTTTATAAGTATAACTATTTATATCTGAAGCATTGTTAACTATATGCGTATTTAATTTAGGCTGTGACTGAAATTAATTAGATATCCTGTTCCGAAACCTTGATATTAATTGCTTTACTTATATCAGTATTATAGCTATAGTAATACCTAAAACATTGTTAATTTATCAATATATTTTGTTTATATTTTAAGCTGTGCCTGAATTTGTTTGATATTACCAAATTTTGTGTTAAGATATTAAGATTTGTAAATCAAAATTATTTTAGTTATTTAACATAACAAACAATTAGAGAAATAAAAATAGCTTTTTGTTACTGTGACTTAACTGCGTTTATTTTTAATATTAAATGTATATTATATATTATTAAATATATTACAAATAACCCTTATTTAATAACCCTTAATTATCTAATTCAAAGGGATACAATTTAATAAAGCTGTCCACATGATCGATCGGCTGACATTGAAGATTGTCGTGTTATTGCTGTGTTTTTACTTTAATTCGAAATGCTTAGATTTTAGAATGCATTTTTTTCCATTCTCTCAAAATTAATCTTAAATATCGAACATGTGTATGTACATATTTATATAATCATATCTGTATAAGCATATCGGCACACTCAGTATACATGACTTTGATATAATAGTTGCCATATTACCCATTGAAAACTTAGCTATTCACTATTTAAATGGAAAGTGTTTTAATAATAGATGGATTACTGTAAAATAAAAGTATATATGTAATATGTATACATATACATACATATATGTAATAAAAATTGGAACTGGGTTTCACTCACGTGGGCGATGCTATATGGTGCTACATATTTAAAAATATATATATTTCATGTATAGAAATAGAACAATTTAAAAAAAATAGTAGTAGGCTTTGGTTTTTAGTCAAAGGCAATTACTTCCCATATATTGTCTGATAGGTTCATACATCAATTTATATATGTGTAGCTTAACAAGAAGAATTTAATTGCCAATCATTTTTTCATAAGTGAAGCATTTCAAAAGAAAAGATTTTGCTAAAAAAAAGTTTTGATTTAAAGTGAATTCAAATAAAAACGTTTTTCCAGACTCCTGCGTCTTAAGCAAGCATCGTCCGATAAGTATCGATAAGTTTTTACACAAGACACAAGCCGACGCCGACGCCATTTCTGTGTGGTTAGAGAAGGGGACGAGTGCGTACTGTGAAAAGGTAAGCGATTTATTTGCAAATGTAAAATTAATTTTCAATATTGAAAGCACTTAAAAAAAAATTGAACATAGGCCGTAAATAATTTAAACATACATTTTATATTAAGCGGCTCATATTTTCTTTACTTATTGCAGCGTAAAAAACGAACAAAAAATTGCACAGAAAAAACTGCAGTATAGAAGCGGCAAAAGCGCAAAAAGTGTGTGTGTGTGTATATAAAGAAAGCACAAGCAAAAAAAAAGAGAGAAGAAACGCCGCCGCTTGGTAGCGCGCAAAATTTTTTTTACCGCAAATACAGTCGTTCTAAACGCTCCATATCGATGTCGTCGCCAATTTTAGAGCCGGTTAAGAAGCGTGGTCGTCCGCCAAAGGCCGGTGGCGGTTCAGTTGCTTTGAGCGGCGGTGGCGATGCTGCGCATACCATTCCTAAGAAGCGTGGTCGGCCATCGGGCAGTGGTAATAAGGGTCGCGGTAGGCCACCTAAAAATCCGATCGCCAGTGATGCCGAAGAAGACGTCTTGGCTCTGGATGGTGAAAATGGTGATACTGACGTGCCGAAGACCAGCAAGGGACGAGGACGCCCGGCAAAAGTGACCAAAGTGGACACTGAAAGCAGTGGCAATGAAAGCGGTAACGATTCATTAAGCATTGACAAGCCATCTAAGGCACAAAAGTCACCATCGCCGGCCAAGCGGCGCAAGCTTGGTCGACCAAAGAAGCATGTGCCCAGTGATGAGGAGGCAGGTGTGTGTGTGTGTTCATTGGAAACAGGAGACACTATGTCCACAATTCCATATACATTTTGAACTTTTAATTAACTAAAACTTTCCAAATTCTCAGAATCTGATGTCGATGACGATGATGAGCGACGTCCAGTGGGTCGTCCTCCTACCGGCGGTGTCAATTTGAACATAGTCCGCACAGGTCGTGGTCCAGGTAGACCCAAAAAGCGTGCCCCTGAAGAAACTAATGGCGATGTGGCTGCTGTGCCTAAGAAGCGTGGCCGACCGGCTGGGTCGAACAAGTCAGTGCCCAATGCTCCAACGGGCAAGCCGCGAGGACGTCCTAAAAGCATCAAGCCGCCGGTTGATGATGACAACGACGATGACAATGGCGAAGATGATGGCTCGACTGCTGATGGTGGCGAAGATGGCGGCAAGTCAGACTCTGATTTCGTGTCCATGCCCAAGAAACGTGGACGTCCATCTAAGAGTGGTGCCTCTGGTGGCAAGCCACGTGGGCGCCCAAAGGCCGTTAACAATGATGATGAGTCCACCGATGCGGAAAAGGGCGAGGAAACTGGCGAGTCGAATGGCGATGTTGTGCCTGCACCCAAAAAACGTGGACGTCCAGTGTCATCCGGCAGAAATCCCGGTGGTGCTGGTGGCGATTCGGAGAAAGCACGTGCCCGAGCCAAGGGAGACGCAGACGGTATTGGCGACGAAGACGACGGTGAGGATTCCACAAAGGAAGACCCCTTACCGCCGAAACCCAAAGTAAAGTCCCCAGGCGGTAACAGCACCACCAGCTATAAGTCGGCAAGCGAATCCGTTGAAGAACTAACCGACGAGGATGCTGCAGTGGCCTAAAGGCTTCGAGGTTTAGATTTTAAGAGATAAACGTAATTATTCATCATCCAGAAACACCAACAAAAACAAAAACGACAAAGCATGCAAGTTCAAATCCCCAGACTACTGCAACCAAACAGACACACACACCCACCCATGGGGCGTACGACCATTAATCGACCGATAGATCGGCTTGCCTTGATCGACATCATTCAAATTCATTAAACGTTTAAACAAAAAAAAAATGCCACAAGATTGGCACGAACAACAACTAATGCACTCCTTCGCTAAACAACAAAAACATAGATTTAGACTCACCAAAAAAACATTCACATATATTATAAAAATATACAAATACAATACATTTAATGCTAAAAAAAATTCGTTACGCGCCCGATTTTAGTTTTCAACGAACGAAGGCATTTCAAAATGAATAAGTTCATTTATATATAAATATACTATATATAGTATAGTTTAATCCAAATTTTGTTTCGCCTCATCCAGAGATGATTCTATTTGTAATTTTATTTCCTTAACATGGCTGAAAAGAAATTTGGAAATATGTGCTAGCGGAGCCCTCCCCAAAAGCACTCATAAATAAGAACCGACGTATCCCATTCATTTGTGTGTAAAACAAATTTCCCTCAAACGCATGTAAGGAACGTGTAAAAATAAAATAAATAATAAAAACCAAAATGTGAGACTACAATTTCCCTAAAAACGCTTTTATAAAGTTTATTTGAAATTCTAAACATGGTAATTCTTTGGAGAAGCGGTCGCGGCGCTTTTTTTTTTCTTTAAACAGATAAATTAGAAGAGACTGCCGACAGTGGGGAAAACTTTTTAATTTCCCAATAAATGTGTATTTAAAATACCCAGAATGGTATAATATAAATATATATATTTAAATTAAAATAGAATATCTATCTATATTCTAATATTTCTCTTTCGACATACATATGAGCTTCCGTTACATTAACATTTTAAACAATTGGATAGGCAATGTATTGCCAAAATAAGTTATACATCAAAACCAAATAATGAGACAGCTGAAATGAACGAGTCAAACATATCTTCCTTAACGATATACAATCCAAGGTTCTCCCAAGTCAACTAAAAACTCTTAGATTGAATTGCTTAAAGTAAATGCCCAATTCTACAGTAGTTTTAAATACCGCATCACCCTCGCCTTTCGAACACATATTTCTGTTCTAAAAAGTAAAATCCAAAGCATGCCACATAAAAAAGTGCTGACCCTAGATATCCATGCAAGATATGTACATATTACTCTCAAAAATACAAAACCTGTATGCGATTCTTTTATAAAGTGCTTGCAAAAAACTGGCCCCCCATATTTGGTTAATGCCGATTTTTTTAAAATAGGCAAACAATAATATGAATTGCCCAAATGAGATTATTTTTCTTAATTTCTGCCAGTTCCACTACTTTGTTGGCGTGTTTTCTCATGCTTGCCAATTGCACTTGAGCCAACGTGCCCGCGCACGTTAGACATTTAATTTCTGCCTATCGAGTATTTTAATTATCGGTAGCTCGATAGTTAAATTACATTTCGATTGTCGCAGCAATTATTGCCTTTGCTTAGGTTTTTTTAAAATTTAAGCAAATTGGTTGCGATTTGACAAATGTTAAAAATACTGCTTACCCTATAACGACGGAAAACTTTGTCAAATTCGATGTGTCGTTATCTTAATTATTTGATAGTACTGGTACAATGAATCAGTGTGTACAAAATGGTGGACTAACCGTTTTTTTTTTTTTTTTGTATTTACATATACGTACAGGCGTGTGTGCTGATTTGTTTCTTAAAAATTATGTATGTATGCATATTTTGCCTATTTATTCATGTACATTTTTATATATAGCTATTAGTTAGAGTTAGTTTTGTATAAATTTTCTTTCTTTAACAGCTTGAGTTGTTTATACACATGTATAAACAAATGTAGATATTGTAAAAAATGGTATTGCGACAATATAAAACGTTCGGTTTTCACATATTCCTAGCTTTCATAAATTTGCTCCATTTTTTGCTGCCGACAACTGCAGTTTTCCATCTATATAAGGAGCTCAAGGAAGCACCTGTGTCCATCGATATTGCCATTACGTGTTCGCCAGACAACATCCTTTGAACCGCCATAGACTTAAAGTCATCAGAGTAACGCGGGCGGTGCTAGAGTTCATAATATTATAATTTATGTTTATATGCATGTATGTATATTTATGGGTACGTATGTATGTATGCACTTACGTATTTGGATTCTTTAGTACCTACATATGTAGGGTTAATACCAGTACTGACAAATTTTTGCGGGTCAGCTGCAATCGTTTCAATCTTTGGAATAGTAGTTTGATAGACCGGCATTGGCGTCTCCTTCCAATTGCCCAGAATGTGAACTTTGTTTTCCTCAACAGGCAATACTTCTATTGAATACCGGCGATGTTGGAATTTATCCTACGGAGTAAATTTGAACCAGTATTAGAAAAATATATACATTTATACTTATAAACAGATATTCAAATATGTATGTACCATTGACATGGGCAGACCAGGTTGGCTTGCCTTAAGAATAATGTCAGCATCTTCGAGGTAAAATACAAGCATCTATAAAAAATCGAATATAAATATAATGTAAAACTAATTACTGCGACAACAGCGTTCATACTTCGTATTAGCTGTTTCTCAATATTAAGTATAATTTATTGTTTTTGAGACTTTTGAAAGCTTTTTTTATAAATGTTTTTTATGACATTTACTTGTATTTGTTAAGAAAAATTGCAGACGTTAGGTTTGTGCGAATTCGTCTGGCAACGCATTATATATATAAAGGCCTACTCAAGTATCGATACTTCAGTTAAGTGGCAGCTCTACGCCATCTCGCTCATCACTCAGCGTGCGTGCGTACATATGTACATTTAATAAATAAGCTAAGGTGTGTGTTGTATTCATTATAATATCTATAGTTTATACGATAATGTGTGTAAAGGACTAGGTATTTAAATTCCTGTGTATATAATAAATGGGAGTTAGATAATTTTTCGTTATACTGGCGCTCCCTGTCGGTTCCGGCTAAAAAGGAACACAAAGGAGGCGATGCCAACAAGAACATTAACTGCATTTGTTTATATGTGAACTTGATATAAATATACAAAAAAAATAAGTTTTTATGTATGTATCATGCGGTTTGCGTCAGCTTGTATGCATAAAAATGTGCGCGCATAACAAATTAGCATTGTAAAGCGTGCAAAACAAAATACAATTTGCATGTGAGTGTGTGTGTGTATAAGAACAAGCGAGAACAACAAAAAAGCAGCACAGCGGTTGATAAAAAAGCCGCAAACAAACAAAAAACAGTGTGGTAACACTGCTCCCATCTGCACTTGTTATGCTGAGTTGCCAGCCCGTGTAAATTGCAGTGGCATTGTTCTTTTTTGATTTTCGCGCAAAATTTGTTTCTCCACCACCATAATGTGGATGTACATAATATTTATTTCTATATTTTATAAATAAAAATAAATTTAAACCCAAACAAATGCAATTGTGGCTGAGACCGAATTGCGAGCAAGAAAAAACTTAATGTTCTTGGCGCTCTGTCTCTCTCTCCTTCGCAAGTGCTCTCTTCGTTATTTGGCTTGCTCATGCGGCAACGCACTCGCCATTTGGACGACAGTGAACAGCAGGCATCGTTATCGCGACGACGTTCTTCTTCATCCTGTGTAAATAATTGTAATTTAAAATACATAATAAATTAAACACACAAAACGCAAAACCGTAATAAAGTTTCGAGTGTTTAAAAAGTTTTTAAGTGCATGTGTAAGTTTTGAATTCGATATGGAATTTTGCTTTTTGAAATAATGAAGTCGTTATTTCATTCTTTTCTACATTGTCATTGTCGGTTCCTTTTTGCCGCTGTAGTTGCTGCGAAAATTTTACCCATACATTCGAACATATACATATATCCAGACGAGCAGCGGCCGTGCACACATATACCAACACATGCTACCTATGTGTATATATGAAAACATGTATAAATAGTAACAAAAAAAAGAATTTTAAGTAAAATAAATGAAGCAAAAAGCCGACGCAGCCTGTCGTCGTCGGCTATGTTATTGTTGTTGCTCTTGCTATTGTTGTTGTCGCGTGCGTTTGTACATAAAATTTAGTTGAACTTTCTGTAGGCAAGCGCGTAAAAAGGTAAAAATCAATTAAATTGCTGGCATATATAATTTTTTTTATATGCTTCTGCTGCTGCGCCCCTTGCCGACGACGACGCTGCCGCACGGCTGCCTCCCCCTGTCACAGCTGCCGCCACAAAGAGCACGCGTATTCATTTCATTTGTTGTGTTTTTAATTTGAAAGACATTTTGGTGAATAATTTTATTAAATATAGATAAAGTGCTTGTGTGTGTGTGTGTTTATGTATGTACTTCCGATTGTCTGCAAAAAAATCGTGCAAGCACACATGCATATGTATAAACTTCTGTATGTATGTATGTATATAAAACGCAGGCAGCCATGCCCAGCATGTTCTGCTCTTCTGTCTGTTGTACGCATTTTGCCTGTCTTTCGTTTTATTTATTTTCTTTTTGCTTGTCCGCCCGTGCCTCGTTTTCTTCCTTGTTGCTTCTTCTTTTGCCCAGCACAGCACTTTTTTGTTTTGTAATTCGCCGCAGCCTTCCTTGCTCGCTCGCACTTGTGCTCTTTTTATACCCTGTACCTGAAGGGTAAGAAGGGTTTGTTGGGTCTCGTGCACATGTATGGAACATACAGTAGGAAGTATTTATTATATTCTTGATCAGCATGACGAGACAATTGGATTTAGATAATGTCTGGATGAATTCCTTTATTTTAGTTTCATTGAGCAAACCGTAGAGTTCCTCGATTTAAAATCAATTTCTGAAGACTTGATCTGTATATAATTCTTTATCCAAATATTATCCAAATTGGTTCATCGTTAGAATTGTTTATTAGTAAAACTGAAAACTGCCCATGGAAGTAGCGCAAGTGTTGTTGTTGTTCTTAGGGCATTTCCTTGTCGGACTTGTACGACTAACATTCTCTCTTGTTTTTACATTCAAAGAGCGGGCCGCTGCACTCTCTCGATGCGACGCCGTTATATACATAAGTATGTATGTATTTGTATGCAAGCATTTTTCCCAATAAGAAAATAGGCAACAGCAACAACTAGATAAAGAAGAGCAAGAACAGCAGCAGCATGTGCCATTTGTTTGAATTAATAATAATAATAGTCATCGAAAATGTTTAATCAAATTTGTATGCTTTATTCTGTGTTGCCACACCCCCTTTTTATGATTTGCGCAGGGCATTGGAATAATCTGCGCTCTGTTCCTTTTTTTTGGAGTATGCTATGCTGCTTGTGTTCTCGGGCTTTTGTTTTTCACATGTCTCTTTTAGCGTTTATCTTTATGTTTGTTTTTAGATTTGTTTGTGTGCGTTTCGGCGTATGTGTGTATGTTGGGGCTCCCGCTGCGTTGCTGTTTCGCACGCTGCATTTATTTTTTTTGTTGTTGATTTTTTTTTTGCCTTAGCCGATTAGACGCTCGCCTGGGCCGCTGCTGCTGTTGTATTTGCTGTAATTGTCGCAGACAGATTGACTGCTTTACATACATGCATACAAATGTATTTGTGTAACTTAACCTCAAATGTTGCGGCGGCGTTCGTTTTGGCCGGGCCATCTTCGTATTTGTTATTCTCAACGTCGTCGTCGACGAAACAACGACGCATGGCAACGCCGCCGGCCGCTGCGTACAATTCGTTCCTTGGCCACACACATCATTTTCGACTAGTTATTATTGTTGTTATTTTCATATACACATACATACATATGTATGTATATAATTGTTAATTTCTATGTTTTCCCTTGTTGTGCAAAGTATTTCTCTTTTTCTACTTTATTTTTCGCGCATGATTCAGCTTGTCTCGTCTCGTTCCTTTGTATGCTGCTTTCATTTGTTCTGGCGCTGCTGCTTCTTACATGCTGCTTTGTTATTGTTTTCGCTATGAACATGATTTTATTTTTCTCATTTTGATGCTCTTGTTTTTTACATATACATATGTATGTATATTCGTCTGTCTAGTCCATGACCAGCTCAAAGTTTGATTTAGTAGACCTGCACAGCGACTTCAGATGATTTTTCAGTATTCTTCAAATATAAAATCTTATTAATTATTATAATAATAATAACATGTGAAACTATAAAATAGAATTGATATATTAAACAATTCCGTAAGGTTCAGTATTTGTTGTTGCATTTGTAAAATGGCTATACAAAATAATATAAAATGATACTAATTAAAAATGTCTTTGTTTATATCTTTGCAGTTTGTGTATATTTTCATCATTAAAACGTCGTGTATATTAAAATCATCTTAATTATAATTCAAACAACAACCAACCACATCTTTAATCTCAATCAGCAAATTTTCAACAGATCTGTACAAAAAAAAAAAATAATAATATCCAAAAAAAATTCTCATACGTAATTATGCATTAAAAAAAAAAATTAATTTTGTTTAACCAAGTGCATCGTGTAAATTATAATTAATAATTTGTGTTAAATAGTGTAAATTTTTATGTAAAAAAAAAAACAACCCAAAACGCAAAACACATAATTTTTTTTGGTGAATGAAAACCTCCTCCCAATACCAAACACGATTTTAAATTTTCAAAACCGAAAAGAAATCTTAAAATGTTGTACATGCATATACAAATATAAGTGAAAAGTGTGGTTAGTCAGATAAAATTGTGCAATTTGCATGTATATATATATATATATAACAACAAAACCAACAACAGCAACAACAATAAATTGTGTCCTCTGTCGTAAAGCGTCAACACGTCGTAGTCTCTGTCGTCTCGTCGGCATTAACGTCGTCATTGTCGTCATCGCTGAGTGTTAAATATAGTTAATAGTTGAAATTTGAAATTTTTGCAATACGCGCCCGTTTGTCAGCTTGAGAGCAAAAAGCCGCCAAAATTGAGCTGTTAACTGCGCCCACGATATCCATATCGACGGTAGCGCCAACGACGCCGTCGCCGCCGCAGCACCAGCAACATCCATTGCAGCATCAACATCAGCATCAGCAGCAGCAACAACAACAGCAGCAGCATTACGGTCCTCCACTGCCGCCACCCTCGCCCTACTTCCAGCATCTTCAACAGCAGCAACAACAACAGCAGCAGCAACAACAGCAGCAGCAGCAACAACATCTGCAACACATGAAGTTTCTGGGTGGCAACGATGATCGCAATGGACGCGGTGGCGTCGGCGTTGGTGTCGGTGTCGGCGTTGGTAACGATGCCATTGTAGGCTCACGTGGCACCGCACAGGATGTGGATGCAGCGAGTGCAGCTGCTGCCGCCGCCGCCGTCGGCTATGTATTCCAACAGCGTCCCTCTCCCGGTGGAGTCGGTGCAGTCGGCTCCACATCGCATGATATAGCCGCTGCCGAATATGCTGCACAATTCGTTCAGAAGCAGCAGCAGACGCGTTGGGCATGCGGAGATGAGCATGGCATTGATGTGAGTATCAATATATATATATAAGTATATATAAATATTTGAGATTGTATAGGCTACTCTATTTAGCAACAATACAGTATACAAATCTATCATACTACCCCCTATAAATAGATCATACTAAATTTTAATTAAATTTGAAATACCTGTAATTATCCAATTTTATCACCACATCTCTGACATCAATAGATCCATACAATCTCTTTTTCAATATACATTCCAAAACCTTTCTTCAAAATATGTACCTATTCTCATTTATTTACTTTCCTGTAAAAATAAAAAAATGGGTTTTTCAAATATTTCTTTATTTTTTTGATTAAATCTTTCACAATTATTTTTCTATTATTAAAATACATATATCAAATCTTATTTTCCTAAGTTTTAAATGTGCTTTTTACAATACTCAACGTTTTTTAAATGCAATTTTTAGTTTATTTCATTTGTTTAAGACAAAGCCAAGTTGTGGCATATTATAAAAGATTTCGTAACACTCAGACGTTTCTCTTAAATTCCAAGCTCTATACAATTTTGAATGGTCTCTGACTTGAGAATCAAATGTCGGCATTTATGGCTCATTTCGGTGCATTTTCCACACTATTCTGAATCTACGGGCGTACTTTTAAATTTGGTTAGCTAATTGCCTCTGCCACAAATTTGCGTTGAAATTTGTCTCCTGTGGCGGCTGCCGCTTCGTCGTCATCATGAATGCTGCTGCATTTTTGCTGCGTCCTCCACTGTTGCAATTTTTGGCTTTCTGCCAATTTATGCGCTGCTCTCAGACCCCATGCCTGTCTCTGCTCTGCCCGCCACACTCACCATGGGAACATAGTTGGAATTTAGTGCGTCGTGTACATTTTTGGTAACCGAAAATATCCTAATTATGCTTTTAGGCACAAAACAGCTGTTGAAAAGTATAAGGAGTTGTTGTCATGCAGCAACAATTTATGTAATGTAAATTATATTCAAAAGCTCGAAGCATATTCAAAGGGTAAAGGAGCTGAGTAATTTTCTTATCATTTCTGGATAGTTAGTGTGAGGTAAAGATAGAGAAAAGTAAATAAAAACCATTCAGTCGAAACGTTCATTTATTTATTGGATAATTAAAACCATCCAAATTTATTAAGTACTTGTATATATTCTTGGCTATTAATGCCAATTAATGTAGATAACATTTTTTAAATTACCAGACACTATCCGTAAATAAATCATACCGTCCAAACCTATTCGCAAACAGCTCATTAGCTAAAGTGAATTAAACAAAATGTATATTTTGTTTATTGAATTGCTTATGCGAACTAATCAAGTTGTTAGTCGACTTTCGGTGGGAAATTGAAGATATCTTCAATACTATATATATATATATATATATATATGTATATATATATATGTATGTACATTAATTAAAGTACATACTTGTAAATATGTTTTCAAAATTTACTTCTAAATATAGAAGCTGAAAATGATATATTTATTATATTAGATAAAGAAGGCATTTTAAATACTTTGAAAATCCAATCAACAGATGATTATTTTGTCTAGTTAGTCATTCCAAGTTGATAATGCACATTGCTTTATTAGAGTATATTTGAAAAATATTCCAGGTGCTATGTACGTACTAATAAGGAAGTTAGGAAGTTTATTATAGTTTCACTTTTTTGATTTACTGAAACGGGGATCTGAAATACTTGCTTTTTGCAGTAAATACTCAAAATCTACTCAGACTATACGAATGGTGAGAAAATAAGAAAAAAAGAAAGAAATAATTGATTGCTTAGAAAAATATCCACTTTAAGAAGTCTCAGAGCAGGTAAAACTTTAAAAATTGTATTTTGAGGATACACACATTATTTAAATGGTGCTTTTTTGTAAAAGAACTTCATTAATTGTATTGTAAAATCATAAATAGGAAAGTTATACGAAATTGAAGAAATATTTATTAAGGGATATGTATTTGAATGGCAATTGATTTACATACTCTGTCCTTAAAGATACTATACCATTTCACTAGCATCTGCGGAGCCCACATTTAATTGTTTCTTACTTGAAGAATTGTAATACATAAGTATATATTAGAAGATTAGGAAAAACGATATGACAGTTTTGAGCATCGTGTTAGGACCTTGTTATTTAAGGATTTGAAAACTTTCTAGATGGAGAGCATTAAATTCATTTAATAAAGCCATGATTAGATTTAAATATTTTCTCGATTCACAATAAGTACTTAATCTAAAAGTAATCGGACGAAAAAATGGTTGGAGTATTGAAAAATCATCTGTCAATGACTTAAAATTGTTGATATCAAAAGACAAAAAAAAACATTACCTCAATTGATTTTTAGTTCAAAAGATCGATCTACAAAAAACAAGCGAATATGTACAGTTGAAAAATGTTGAAAGGTGGAAGGGTCAAGGGAATAGTATATTCATTTATTTTAGTGTATAATAATAGAGTTAAATGAGCATAAAGTATATTAAGATAACAAGATAAAGTTAATATAACCATTTTAAAATGCGCTCAAGGCTGGCATATATGTAGGCTATCTATATAGTATGTATGTATTTATGTATATGAGTTAAACCTGATGCGCCCATTAAATCTAATTAAAAGCGAGTTGCCGCTCTTGTTTTTCTGCTTTTTCCGTTGTTGCTTACGACTTCCGTAGCCTACAGCTGTCCTTTTCCACTGTCCTGGCCACATCAGATGGCCATTTGCTTTATGAGGCTCTTTTCTTTTTGCCTTCCTCGTGCCAAGGTAAACAAGTCAGCGTCAGCGTAGCTCCTCTTGCCATTTGGTGGATGTCCCATAGCTTGTATAGTAATTTGCCTGCCCATGCGAAGTATAGCTGCTTTTAGCCCAGCCCCACACAGCCCAGATCCATGGGGTTCTGTATGAAGGTATGTGGCTTTTGCTTGTTGCCAAAGGTTGCATAAACAGCTTACAAGTTCCAAGGAAATTGGCATTGAGGACCTGGCAAAACGACGATGGCTTGGCATGTACTTTGGGTATATAAAGTACGTACATAGGTACATGGCCAATTGCAGACGGCGCCTTTGTGTCTAGGATTTTGTTTTGACGGCAACTTAGAAGATGCAGATTTATAATACAGTCGAATCGAGTTTGCTTAAATTGCTTATAGTATAAGTTTAACATGAAATGCCTTTGTTAGGAAGTGGAACGTAATTAGAGATTTAAAGTTTATTTCTTTCTATTTCACACAAACTTTTATTTTAAATACAATTTGTACTTTCTTTATAAATGTAAAACAAATTTTTCTGCAATGCTTAGAGTTTTGGGTAATTTTATTAATTACAATTTCGCTATTATGTAGAGCTATATATATTTTCAATTTATTGATTTTAATATATTTTATTTAGTAATTTGGTTTTATTAATATTTTGTTATTAATATTTTATTCTTAATATTTTGTTATTAATACGTTTGATTAATATTCTTTCTATTAATTTGTTTAACGTATTTATATTATATTTATTATTGTTTCTTTATATAATTTCAATATGTGTATTTGTTCATATTTATTTAATTTTTTTTATACAGAATAATTCAAAAATCCTCTTAAATTTATAATATATATATATGCGCATATTTCAAAATTTATTTATATGTTTAAACATATATATTTTGTATAAATTTATTAACATATGCATATCTTTTGTATTTATTTGTTTTTGTTAATTATTCGTCTATATTAATTAAGTAATTATTATTTTTCATTTATTTTGTATTTTTTTATGGATTGTTGATTATTATATATGTATATAATTTTTTGAAATTTATTTTGTTAAGTTTTTATGTGAACAAGAACATTTTGTATTTGACAAAAGAACCCAAAATTATTCTTATAATCGAAACTATTTTTTAAGTGGATTGTATTGTGGGTTTCCTAGCTAGACAAGAATGGACTCAAAGTATTTGGAGGTAATAAGCGTACAATACGGTTTATTCCCCTAACTCCTCTAACACAATTCATTGTTTTATATTATTATTTTATTCTTAAAAAAGCAATTCCTTTTCATCGATCTTCTATCACCATCACCATTAGATGATATTTCTCACATTTTTCTATCCTGTGTTGTAAGGGCATGAACGAAAATGAATAAAAATATACAGATGAGTTCTTATTAGAGGGTTAGTTATGTGTCTTCTCTAACTAACTAACTTAACTTTTCACTGATATTTTCATATTAAGCGATATTCAGCAATATTCTATTGATTTAATTAACGCAACCATTCTTCTCATTTATTTGTAGAATCCGGATAAATGGAAATACAATCCACCCATGAATCCTGCAAATGCTGCACCCGGAGCACCACCGAGCGGTAGCAACGGCAGTAATGGCGGTCCAGGACCCATTGGCCCAATTGGCATGGGCTCGGGCAGTGGCTTGGGCGGCGGCATGGGTGGCAGCGGCACCAATGGTGGCCTGCACCACCCATCAATGAGCAATTCGGCTGCGGCAGCGAACATGGCAGCCATGCAACAAGCAGCCGCAGTGGCCAAACATAATCACATGATGTCACAGGCCGCCGCCGTAGCTGCGCAGCAACAACAGCAGCAGCCTCCACACCCACAGCAGCAGCAACAACAACAGAATCAACAAGGGCCGCCACATCATTTAATGGGCGGTGGCAACGGCCTGGGAAATGGCAATGGACATGGCCTTGGCGGCCTTGGCGTTAATGTGGGTGGCGGCGCCGGACCACATCCTGGACAAATGCAGTCTCAGCAGCAACAGCAGCAACAACAACAGCAGCAGCATCAATATAACTCAAATTTGCTAAGTCATGCCATGAACAATCCGGCAGCAGCAGCTGCAGCCGCTGCCGCAGCTCTCGGTCATATGCCTCAGTATCCACAGTCCGCGGCGGGCAGCATGTACGATCATGGCGGTCTGCATCCGGGCATGAATGGTGGTGGCATGCCCAAGCCTTTGGGTGGACCGGGCAGCGGTCAACTGGGCCCGGGCCCTCAGGATTTTGTGTATATGGGTGGACAGCCCCATGCAGCCGCCGTGGCCATGGGAGGCGCCTTAATGCCGCAACAGAACCAGTATATGAACAATTCAGTGGCTGCCGCCAACAGGAATGCAGCGGTGAGTAAACCTATAAGAACTATAAAATATTATTGTGCAACTTTTTGGTGGAATAAAGGGCCGAATTTCTTTCTTAATTTTGGTTAATTGCTTAAGTTTGTCAACAAATCTTCCCGTCTAGAGAACTGCTCTTCTATATAAGAGAAGCGGAAAACTATTGTCTCTCTCTCTGTATAAAAGTAGTAGTGGGTGGGAGTGTCCCTAAATAAGAAATACATATAATAGTTTAATTAACAATAGGGCTTATATAAAACTACACAATAGAATGCTTTTTGTATAAGCACGATTGGAAAACAAAAGATACCCATTACAGTAAAATCTCTCTTGGCGGGACACTCACGGTCGTCCAATTTTTGTCTGCCCAAGGGGAGTGTCCGCTTAAGATACTTAAATATCATAAAACATACAATCCAAACATATTAAAATTTAATTTCAAAATCTGTGAGAGTTTGCTTTAGTTTATTCAGAAAAAAAAAATCCTAAAATGACTATTCTTTATTATTTTAGTCAATTTATAGGAAAATAAAAGAGAAATACTGGTCGATTTTTTTATCTATACGCAAACGAACTTCAAGAGACCTGTCAAATATTTTGTATATTTTTTAATTGGTGGAGACTAAGTGGACATTTTTATATGTTCCATTCAAGTCTAAATATTTCTTTAAAAGGTAGTTTTTGATCATTGACGGGACAAACTTTTCAATCATTATGTTTCACTTTTTCAAAGAATATTCTCTTCATTTTGAAATATGATTATTATACAATTATAGCCTGTTGTATTGTTCCATGAAATGTTCACCCTAAATGAATTCTAAAAGCGATTTTGAACTTCTCAGGAGCTGAACAATATAAGCAATGCAATATTGTTACATTTTTCTTTTCTATACGTTATTTATTTTTGTTAGCTTTTGTAATCGCCTTTTTCATGTGCTCTTGTTGAAGGGTCCAATAATATTCATGTTGTGGTTCTGTTATTACTATTTTTGTTGATGGATGATAAGCCATTACTCGCAAACATTTCTATCTGTCAATAGCATCTGACGCTCCCTTCTTGACTATCTGATGATGAACCTTTTGCCATTTAAGCACCTACCCAGATAAGCTGCAATGTAATTGCTTTACGCTGTCGCATAATCAATACATTTTGTCACTTTTTCCGCTCAATTTATTGATTTTGTTGCTGTTCATCAACATACAATATGATTGATGGATTATTGTGCAAACATTATCGTATACGGTTGTTGACTTAAATGGTAATAACTTGAGGCACGAGTATGCCTGTTGGGGAGGGAATACGATATGCTAATTGTACTTGATTTAATTTGTAAATAGAACTACTCATAAGCACAATACGAACGCTTATTGTGACAGTTGTGCGCACAATTATTACAATATTAGAAGCATTGAAAGATTATCAGGAAACTATAAAATAGAATCGTAGGAATTCATATTTATCCACGCTTTTCACAAATGATTAATGCCATATGTGTTATGGAAATCGTGTAGCTAGAGAAAAACAAAAGCAGCTTTCTATTTTAAGATACGGGTATATAAAGAGTGCAGAAATCACAAAGTTCTGCGGAAATTCTACGATGTAAATAAACTAGAGTGACTGACGTCTACCGTTTGATGTAATTGTGAGAAGAGCAGATATTGTAGTACTAATAAATTTGGCACGTTTTTGAACCTACCCTACACTTATATAGTACATATATGTATGTAGGATTTCGATATTTTCCATTTCAAAGGAATCGGTATATTTATTTTAATTTGAAGATTTTTGATATTTGGTCATAGTTTAGCGATCTGCTTATATGATATAATCGAAAAAGACATGGTCGTTCGTCTGTCTGTATGAACACCAAGAATCATTTGGATCCACAGCAAACAATTATAATTGCATATTTTTTATAAACATAACTATAGAGTATGTAAAATGATTCAATCTTAATTTTCCTGTTTATTATATCCGTAGCAAAGCTTGTTATTAATGAGCTTATGAAAATGCCTTACCATATTCTAAACTCGCGTCAAAAAGGGGGCATTATATTATAACTGGCTAGTAAATCATTTCACGTCCAATTTTGTATAATTTATTATTTTAACAAGTTAAAATCAATTAAAAAAAAATTTTATTTATTTATTTATTTTTAATTATTTCATAAATTGTTCCACATTCAACATTTAATTAAACTATTTATGCACATAGGTGAAAAAAAGAACTATTAAATTATATTTCATATATTAAGCATAGGTTGCCAGTTTCAAATACATGTTAATGATAGACAAAAATTTAAATAAAAATATTGAATAAAAGACAATAAAGAAGGAATCCTTAGCTATTTGTCAATGCAAAAATTTAGCTAGAACGCATTTCTATTATAGTTCCAAACACAACAGCTATGTATGTAATGCCAATTTATTTTTAATCTATCTAGTTATAATTTCAATATTTTCCAAATATACATTACAAGCTATTTAAAACGCTCGCCAATTTCTAAAACATTGTTGAGGGTTCAACACTCTCTCACTCTTCGTTTCATGCCGTTAACACGTTAATCCGAGAAAGCCGGTTATTATGTGCGTAAACGTCTTAAGTCCTCTAATTGGATTAGTACCGCGTTAAGATAGGCACCTATGCCCTAAGTTCTTAAGCAGCTGCTGGGCATTACGTTTGCATTTTTCTCGGCTACATATTCAAGTGAATTACCGCTTTGTGTTTTTATTTTATTTTGTCGTAATTTTGGCAATTTGCGTTCGTGGAGCGTATAAATATTTGGCTCATAGTTAAAGTTAATCAATAATGTTTTGTCGTTTTGTTGTTGTTGTCGAGTCGTGGCATTTTATGGTATCCTCGAACTTGTGGTATGTATTTCCAAGTCCTATTGCTGCGTGTAAATTACAAAGTTTGTTTTTATTGTCATTGCCCAACTTATTGCCGCAACTCGCAGGCTTTTCAAGTTTTCTTTAGCCTAGGCTCATAAAATCGGATATCTAGTATTGTTTTTCTTTTTTATAGATTTTCAATTTGGGCAAATGGAGTGTAAAAACAAAATAATAACTCAAATATTGTTAAATGCAACTTTGTCATCGCTTCAAGTGTTCATAAAAAGTTTAAATGTTTTTTGACCCTAGCACTTGAGCAACTTCTCAGATTGTTCAGCATTAATGGCTCAATAAGATAATAGAGTGGTGTGGTAAGCAAATAACAGCTTTGAGCAGACTCTGATTTCGTAGGACCTTTTAATGCTAAACTTAAATTTCATTGGCTTGAATGTTTGGTATTACTCCCATTATTAAATAGTTTGTGGTCTGCAAAAGGTTGAGTTTTGTCAACATCCCTTGGCTTAAGTAGATTTATAGATTTTATGCAGCTTCGTGTAATTATCTACTGGGCTTTTCATAAACATGGTACATATGAAGATAACAATTTTGCAACGTCACTACAATCGAAACTTTTCAATTACATAGGGAAAAGGGAAGCATAATATGTTTCGAATCATAAATAACTGGAGTAAGACGTCTTGAGAGAATTCGAATTCATCATAAAAGATGATTAAAGCAGTTTCGGATAGAACAAAAAATATAGCCACTATAGGTATATACAAAAAAAACTTCTCAATTAGAATACACCTAATGCTCTTTTTACGATTTTGATATAACACGGTTTGAAAATTAAAAATTGCATATATATATATATATGTATATATATATACCTATCTACCGTGTAAAAACAGAATTAGGTGTACAGTTTTTAAATAATTATAAAGTTGTGTTAAAATTTAGCAAGACATACTGGGAGATATGTTAACCAAAAGCTGCTTTCAATTTGTCCTCACATGGTATCTTCATTTAGAGCTAATGTTTTCAAACCCATAAATCTTTGCTACACTGGTAAACCGTCAGCTCTTGGATTTTCCTGAAAGGTGTTGTGCTCCTCATAAGCCGCTCAACCTGCTTGCTGTTGGGCCATGTCTTCTGCCTGTTGTTGACCACATTAGTACACTAAAAGCCAGTTAACCACTCAGGCAGTTAGGCAATCATCTCCAGAGTTGGTGGCTGGCTGCCTGCTGCCTGCTACCAGCTGTTGTCTAAGACATGTTGCATTTGTTTTGCTGCGGCTGCTGCTGTTCCGCTTAAGACGCATTCCGGTTGCAATTTCATGCCATATAAGCTAAGCGTCGGGCATTGCACATGCCACACCATGCCTCCTGTTCTTGTTGTTGTGTGACTTTTGTTGGAAACTTGAGAACGCCACCGCTATCAACTCACTTGACCAAAACACTGCTTCTGATGCTGTTGACCAAGTCAACAAGAATTCTACACAGCCAAGCAACGCCTCAAGTGCTACCGACGCACGCATTTATAAATAAAAGAATTTAATACTTTACGGGACTGAACCTGGGACTACATACATACATACATACATAATATATATGTATGTATAGTATATACATACATATATGAGTATCTGCCTCTACTTACAGCAACATGCTATGTCACAAATGCGTTTAAAGCAAAATAAATTTTAATCAAAGAATTTAAGTCTTTGGGATTCGATATTTATTATACTTAGAGCTAGAGCTAACAAAATTATGGCCTTAAAGGCAATCTTTAAGAATCTTTATGGATAGCAAATGCTTTATTTAATTTCAAATGCATTTATATATTTTATTCACTGTTTATAATTTTTTAAAGTCCCAACAAATTTTGTGATGATTCTCCATTTCTGTTTTCCGACCGACTCGGTTCTTCATTTTTTATATTTTGCAGAGTTGAATTAACATAACTGTTTTGGCTTATCGATATCAAAAATATCAAATGAAATAGTATTTAGAAAAAGTAATTAGTACTTAGAACAAGAACCATATATGCTAGTGTAGCAAGAATTCGATTTCGAACTTGCTATGTTTTTATTTCAGTTAAATATCAAACTCATTCAAGTATACGACCAAACTGAAATTGTGTTACTTACTCGTATGATACCGATAACAAATGCC